TTTGTTCCGAACATTTTGGTTACCACTTCCAATAAATGTAACAATAAAATCTCATTATCAAAATTATTAACCACATAAGGGCCGGGTGCTTCCCTCGTCATGGTGCAACGGTGCATAGCCTGGCGCGAAGTAAATTAACTCTGACACTTGTCGAGCCACAGTAGTGTAAGGAGTAAGGAACGCAGACACTAGCTGCCTAACCATGATCGGTACTACGCTGTGGCATTAAACTGGAAGTTTAAATTTCCTGCGGTTGATCTCTTTAACTGGTGCCTGGTTCTCATTCCACCTTGTCAACAAATTGCTAAACTCGGTTAATAAACCGCCCGTTTTCTCCATATTTTTATCTGACATAGTATTTTTAGTTACCAGTTGCCGTCTCTACCCACTAAATATTATTTTAGCGATGCTAGAAGACGTGAGAAAAAAGCAATTTGGCAGGGAGAAAATGGTCGATTGTCAATACCTGATTATCATATCCAAGAATCTTGATAGTTGAGAAGAAGAACAACTGGCTTTATTGTTTAGGTGAAGGTCAGTACTATAAGTATAAGTAAGCTATCAATACTTATGATTTAATGTTCTTGTTTATTCTTATTTAAGATCAAGCTTATGTATAGTGACTGATCAATTAAATTGGCTGTGATTATTATTAAAAGGTTGAAGTTTCAACGCCGTGTTTTTTACAGGAAAGGGCCCACAAATAATCAAATTCGCAACCCGAAAACCCTGCTTGGGGGAATTGGAGGGTCACGAGTTGATGAATTCTTATTTGTGTAAAATCGATATTTTAAATGTTAATAGTCATTCACTGTAGCCAGAAAAGAAATGAGAAGCCAGATTTTAAAACTTTTAATGCTCGTGCTGAAAGTGAAATCATAAAAATGGATTCAAATATATTCCTCATTATATATTGCGACTGGAATATCGTTCAAATTCGTGGGCATGATATTGTTTCGTAGTCATTGCCTAAGTGCTTCACAGCATTATTCTTAGTCACCTAATACTAATAAATTTTACTTTGAACAAACTTGATTTACTAGGGTTTTGATCGTATTTTCCTTCCGCTTTCCTCGGAAAGCATTGTTCACAAATAAAAGTTGTCGTTCAATAATTTCTTCGGAATAAAACTATTCATTGTCCTAAATGTCCGACCAACTTATAAATTTTGAATGGTTGTCAGAAAACCCTTATCATTAACCCGAAGTGTGCCTCCAGTGGCTGTTTACTGACCCCGAATTAGTGGCCGATAAGCAACTTCAGGGTCTTATTCCTGGGAGAAAGAAATAGTAGTGGCACGATCACCCCGCATATCATTTATCTTCTCGTATATCTTTACAAATAACAACCCCATCTCTTCACCATAAATCATCGCCATGACCACCGCTTTGCCGACTTGGGTCAGTTATAACACATATCATATTCCGATAAAATAGCTACAATCCAAGTTCACAGCACGTGCTGGGTGCGAGCGCGGCTTACATGGTATTATTAAACCAGGTTATCAGAGCATGGTGAATTGGTTCTAAAATAGTAGCAGTTGTTGATGGTAGTCGCCTCCGTGACCGGGCCGGGGTGGGATGTCCGGCCCCTGTCCCCTGTGCCCCTGTCATCGGCAACTATTTTCGGGCGCTTTTCCTTAAAGGGGCCCCGCATGTGTCCGGGAATGTTATCTGGATATACGATTATATTATGTGTCGAAATGTTGGGAGCTCCCGTTGGCCATTTCTTCCTGAGATATTTATCTGAATTAGTATAAATTTGTTACTGAAAATGTGTCAGATTGTGTTGATTATTATAGTATAGGAATATTGTGAAACTCTATTTGATAAAGCTCATGTCACTATTGACAGTGTCTTATCCGGCCCTCAAGGTCTTCTCCTCTCAATAACAACAGTTGATAAGAATGTTAGCACCAACACTGCAACACATGCTCAGGAAAACCTAGAAAATTTAGCAAACCCCTCTCCATATCTACTTATCACTATCAGTTGTCAATTGCAGATCACGAAATTAAGGGGATAACCGAAAATGCGGCTTTCATATATTATGTGATGATCTTCATGGCCTAACCACTAATATTCACCATCTATATATAACATATATGGGGCATAAATTAAGAATATTCTCTACCCATTTTAAAACTTGTTGTATAAAAATAACAAGTCCTTGAAGACCATTTATACTTCTTGACGCCACAATAATTCAAATTAGATAACCTAACAGCAGTATAAATCGTAGATCATGACAGCTCATAATATCATATATCCAACATTCAAATCAGGGGATAATTAAGTCGATCAAACCCCAATTCCACCTGTCATGAGCTCATTATAAGAAAATACTGATATCATCAGATAATTGAGCACTATGGAGTGTCGGGATAACCATTAGACCCCTCTCACGCTAATTGGTCCCAACTTATCGCCCTGTGATGGACAGATGAAGTTGTAGTCTATTGTCAGTTCCCGACAGCTTGTTAATAGAAATAATTGGAGATAATGTAGACACTATTTGGACCGTACCCCTCCTCGTCAACCCGTCTCAAATGTTTTGCCAGGAAGTTTTGCCAGGAAGTTTTGCCGACAGTGTCAAACTTTTTTGATCTTCACCCGTGCTGAAAAAAGCTGGCTTTGATCGGTAATTATAAATTCTGTGTGGCAAGGAAATGCTCTTAGTCAGGACTCAGGTGGATGATTTAAGTGCTATCTAAAGATTCTTATATCTCGATTTTTAGGTTTCCTTGACAGGTATGCTGTTTTATGTAGATACATTTTATTTCCACCTGTCCTCTCTTGCAGTGCAAAGCCAATTCTGACCTGGACATTCCGGCCGATTATTTCTGTGAACATTATTAACATACTGACTCAAACAGCGTACAGATGTTTTCATTTTACCGGGATGATAGTTGGGTGGAAAATGTTATTGTGATGTAAAGATTTTGGCACTTGTTATTAATTAATTTGTTAAACATAGTCAATAGTCATGAAAAATTATGTTAGTTAGGTTTATAAATTGAGCCAGCTGGGTGAGTCATTAACTTGCAGCTGGAAATGCAGCACATGTTTGTAGATGTCGTTCTATGCATAGTACACAGCTGTGAACTGTGTATTAGTAAATATACCCAGGTGTCTTTAACTTTTCTTGAAGTACGTATTTTCAATCTCATAAGAAGTTTAAAATTTGATTCCTGGTTTGTACCAAGCACATTCTCATCCTAGATCCATCAATATTCATGCAGGATGTTTACCATTTACCAAACTTATTCTAATATCTTATAGAATTTCAAAACAGAACATAGACCGGATTAGTCTAAATTCTTTCATAGGGTTAAACTACAGGGTCCTATTCTTACTTTTATATTGCTTCATAATTTATTAATTCAAGCTACCGCTGCTTATCGCTGAATAGATTTAGCCTTCCAACACATTAAATAACTCGTAGCTGTCAAATGTAGGTTAAAATAAAAGATAGTTGTTTATAGCACGAGAGAGAGATGAGGCCACTTAAAAGTCTTATGAAATCATAGACATCGTATTCCCGGTCATAATATCTCCAGCTTTGTAAGTAGAACGCTGCACTTCGCTCTCTCTCTCTCTCTCTCTCTCTTTATCGCTCACATTATTTACAAATAACCCCGGACTCAATTTTCCCCGACTTATTTAATCGTTTGGATGTTTTTTGACGTAAGTCCAGTTCCTGTTAGTTCTTTGCTTCAAACATCCAGAACGGCCTTTCACTGTCAGATTCTTCAACTCCCAGCCGTCAATGGCAATAATAACCGCCTTATCAGTAAACCCGGAGTGAGGTATGACGCCAACTTGACATATCCTCACGTACGGCCGGCCCCACTCATGTCCCCCTTGATAAGGTCAATAACCTGAAGTTGGCTGGGGAACGCCTTTCAATAATAAATTTCCGCAAATACCCTGATTATCAGTAAAAACCCGAAACCCTACGTTGTTTATCGTTCCATTTGGTGATCATTACGTCTAGAAGCTGTGGTAATCGTTTTGTGGCGCTCCGTGCTGGGGAGCCCTATCCTTCTCAACAGACTACCAAACTCTCAGTCGTACGCGAGAGAGAAAACTGCTGAGCATATTTATCTTTTATATTTATGTGCAAATATTTCGCCACATTTTATACGTTGTCGTATAAGAGCAATAAAAGACTGCCTGAGATATTTTTAAAATATAGAGCTATTATGGCCACGTCGTTTACGGTTGTAGTACCATAACATTGTCTAACTTCGTGTTATAACAGACCAAGTTTCGATTTTATACAGGATCTCAAGTAGATACTGAGAACATGTTATATACGCGGTACCCAGAGAAATGCTGGGTTGGGTACCCAGGACTGGGTCCTGGTGTTTGGGTGCCGTTTGTCTGCTAAACTGTCCGTGACACTCTGTCCCTTACTCTCATCCCCGACATATACCCTCAGTTTAACACAAGGACGGCTCTAGAGAGAGAGAGTGGACCCTGGCCTTCTATAACGTATATTATTTAACTGTCCGATAGTGTTAATTCTTTTGTTATACCCTGATGGGGTTCCAATACAATTTTCTGCAAATTGAGCTTGATGTCAACGGCCTGTCATACCATCTTCTGTTTAAGCACGCAAATTAAATCAATAATATTTTTCTTTCGCACAACCATTAAACCTTGGTAGCCACGTGGCCAGGTCCTCACGTGCATTTGTTCTGAAATCACGTGACAAAGTGGATAGAATACTCTGGAGTAGGTGCTAATTGCTGATAAAATCCATCCTCACGTGACTAGCCACTAAATCATTTAAACTTGCACTTTTCCGCAGCATTAGTACGTCAAATTATCCTGGTTACCAGTTAGAAGACACCTCATCTGCGCGTGACAACCACGTGGTCGCCCTCATGTTACTACGCAACCAATCGGGCTTCTGTCACGTGGTCCTTTATTTCGTTCTGGAGTGCCCAATCGTAACGCGTTTCAAAATTCATTCGAAAGTAGGATAGGTATTCAAAACACATAACGCATTAGTTCCTCATTTACGGATTATTAATCGTTGCAATTGTTACCGTTAGCTTTAGCCCCGCGAATAACATGACTCTGAAGAATAGTGGTCCCGGCCTGGGACTGACCCTGGCCCGACCCCTTCCCCTCCTCACAAGAACTGGCTCTAACTTCTCCATTGAGAACTTGTTGAATTCTACACTAAAATCAGTGAGTTATACATGTGCTTGTTTTTGTTGCCTCATGTTTTTTCGTGATCACTAGTTCGGTGGTTCGATCTTTATTCTTTAGTGAGGTGTTTAGTGTTTATCTTGATATCAAGAAAATAATTAGGAGTTTCGAAGATATTGTTGAGACATTTTTAATGTTCTTTTTTCTGGTTTAACCGGAAGAAATTGAATTATAGCTATTCAATTTTTAAGTATGATAAGTTTGTAACGCTAAAACTTTTACTTCTTCATCTGTAATTGTAAACATCCCAGTGCATTCGATAAACTACATTTTTTAGGTACAAAACGAATTAGAGGGCTTAACCTTATGCACGCAAAAAACGTCTGATTTTAAACCTGAATAAATGCGTTGCTCGATTACTAATAGTATAATTTGTGACATTCTGGGCGGCCATTTTCTTTGTATTCTAAAATTTATATCTTTCTGTTGGAATACTCCGAAGTAAAATAAGTGTGAGATAAAAAAATGTGACTAGTGTTTTCACGGAATACGTTAAAGATAACAAATAAACTTCCACCCTGTTATAAATATAAAACTAGTTAAAGTGACTGTGATCAATATTCAATACTGAAAGAGTTTGTTTTTTATCGTCTCTTCTCCTCAGAGTCCCTCTCCGACCTCCACGAGTCCTCCCTCTCTCCTCACTCGAACTCCTTCCCCGACATCAAGCTCTCCGCTAGCCCCATCCGGTCTCTCTCCCATGCCCTCTGCTAGCTTTCTCAGGAGTGGCTCACCAGCTGGATTGGGATATGACAGGATACTATCTTCTCCGCAATCCATGGTGTAAGTTTCTTATTTCCACGCTAACTTATTAGCTGGTTCATCTACTGTTCGTGAATAATGTGGTACGGTTTTATTTCCGGATTTATTAATATTTTAGAGTATTTGACAGTATAAAAATTCTATTGAGCTCGTGCATCACTGATAAGGAGGGGAGAAATGTTGTGGCGTGAGACAATGGTTCAATATATTCATCCAATGGCAGTGAACAATAATTTGGATGGTTCCCCCGCGACATATTTGCGAATACATCATACAATGAATATATGTATGATAATACGATATAAATATCGTATAAAAAAACATTAGAAATCGAATTATTGATTTGTCGTGATTTGACAGTATTATTACGTTCCACCCATTATCTGATTTGTCTGTTTTTGTATAATGCGATTTAGATGATGTCTGTCTCCAGGAACCAGCAGAGCGTTATCAGGACTCACAAGTCTGCCCACGACCAGGCCACTTTGGACAGGACCGCTGCTGCCAGGTAATAATCGTAATGTAGATTATTTAGATATTTAAGGAAGTTTAAAGTACAGGTTTGGATGTGTACTAGAAGTAGAAGTAGATGGAGTTGAATACAATTTTATTTAAGAATGTAGCTAAAAGTTTGTTAGTTTTTAAACCTTCTTTTAAATAGCTTTTTTATTAAGCTTTTATTACATTACTCTGCAATTGTTACAGAAATAATACAAATTAAATCGAGCGGCTCAAAAGATTAACGAAATAATTATTCGCCATTCGGTCAACTTAGCTTATATTATATATCTCAGAGATTAATATTAAACTCCAGACGATACTCCACTCCCAGTTATTTTCTGGTCACATTAAAGCTCACTACTGTCGCCTGTTTGAAGACCGAAATAAAATAAGAATATACCTTCCTCTTGTTCAAACTGTTCTGGTACGGTCATCTTCCACATTTATATCTATCCGTGAATGGCTGTGAGTGACTCAAAAGACTCCAAATTTTGGAGTTTTAGAATCCAAAACTACAGAGCTGTGAAAAGGTTGCCACTTCAATAAACCTATCAGTTGCTTTACAGCTGCAAGTTCACCGTCACATGACTTGCTGATGCAGTTTCATGGTCAGAAAGTCGCACGCTGATTTCCCCCTCATGAAGCAAGTGTTAGCTAATATGTTTTAGTGGTTCCTGCTCCTCGCCCATTGGACAGGCTCATTGGGTTGTGTCACTGTAGCCGTAACTAAACGTATTCACCCATCTTCGGTCTCCTAAAAGGCTAAACGACATGAAATGTTGCAGTATTTATTCCTGAACAAGATTTATCTATCAACGTGTTCGATTGAGAGGCGTGTTCAGCAATTTACATATAATCCGAACCCCGTTTGATATTTAATAATAATTGTTGTTCATCTAAAGTTCAAATGAAGATCATCCAGCCTGCGAAGAATTTCTCGTATTGTCCATTTAGCGTGCCCTTAATAACGTTATTTATTTATCTGAAGTCCGGTTCATCTGTCGCCACATTTTTGTTGAAAATTTACAAAATGAATCCTTCTCATCGAAACAGCTCTTTCACAGCAATGTCGTGACAATAGTTTCACTTGCCTCGCTATAAGTTGTCATCAACATGTAAAGAAGGTCCTGAAGTGGACGACCTTAGAGAACGGCTCTCTCGTGCTAGTTAAATATTATTGATTATTATATCCGTGACGGAAAAACCGGTATCCCAAACAATATGACTAATTAGCAGCCCTCGTTATAATAGCTCTTTGCCATTGCGTACGACTGGTAACAGCCTATATCAATACTTCCTTCAAATGACTTCAGTGTGGGTTATGAAGTCCTGAATTTAGCATCCGATCTGCTCGCAGGGATTAGTTTTTCTACTGGCTTCTCTTCGAGTGAGCTCTCCGTAGGTTTACTCAGGGCTTTACTCTCCGTAGGTTCAACCCTATCCTTCTGATGGGTGACGATGGCATTTTCAGGAGAAGTTTCGTATGAAAATTTTGAGCGGTGCCAGGCGGGTTGGGATGTCGGCTGAGCTATAATAACTATATTTAGTTAATGAAGACCAGTAATAAAGGGGAAACTTGATTTCGCTGATTAACAGCATATTATTGTTGAGTAGCTGGGATACTCCTTTAAGAAATTTCATACGTAGAGAGAAGTTGTGTGTGTAATGGTGAGGGATATCCAGGAATGGCAAAGGTTGCCGACCCTGCTGTGTTAAGGGAATCGTGCCATGAATTAATGTTTCAATGCTGTTTCTGTTACCACCTATCCCGGGCTTTAAAGAGCCTAGCCGTAATTAGAAATTCCCATCTTTAGCTAAGCGTGGGTTACTGGTGACTATCGTTATAAATGTTGGGAACAGCTCTAACGTTTTATTTAACGCTCTCCTGCCTTCACGGTAGGGGTGAAACTCAGATTCGCCATTACAAATTAGACCGTTGAAAACATCAAAGCAGTTCCCAAGGTACACTGACGCTTGGATCCAGCTTCATCGTCCGGTGTCTTTTAAGTTTTAAGTTTAAAATGAAGAAAGGTAACATTCCCTCTTCTTCACGGTTTTCAGTTGGAATTTGGTGAAGTGTTGTTATTTAGGTCACGAACTGTTCAACCTTATAATCACTTCAACAAGACTTGATTTGGTCCTTTTGGCACCCTTGAAATTATTTCAAGGCACCTTTCTACGAAATTTGTCTACAGTGACACACACATTATCTCCAAACCGATAATCTAATTTCTCTTTAAACGTCTGGAAACACTTTCAGAACAATAGCCTAAAACCATTATCCTACAAAAAGATAAATCCCAAGCCATGAATCTCCAAGTATCACGGTAATCAGCAATGATGGGGTAATATTTTGAGGGTTGCCAACCTGTCCACTCCCACTTGTAACACTCAGAGTTAAGGATGGAGCTATATAACTCTACTCTAACTTCCCTCCTCTCTCCCTCTCTTTCTGATCCATATCACTGTACCTCTATCTGTAACTCTCCCTCTCTCTCTCTTTCTCTCTTTCTGTTGACTCACCCCCGGTCACGTTCCTCTTCTCTCTTCTCCGCCACACGTTGTCTGAGGCTGTGGCCCGTGTTCCAAGTCGTCCTAACCTCCGCCAGACACCACGGCACTTACTGACCTAGACATTCTGTTATTGTCAACATGTTATGTAGCGGATCATGTGATAAACCCTGATAATGAATATGTACTTGAAGCTTTTAGCTTATCGTGTTTGTGACAGGGGACTGGTGGGACGGTTCACGGTGTGCTATTAAACATATTGGTAATGGAGAGCACTTGAGAGGGCTCCGGGGAGGGTAGACACCAACAGCTTGCCTCGGAAGAGTTACACCTACAGTATTGTCCTCCTCTCTCTCTCCCTCTCTCTCTCTCTCTCTCTCTCTCTCTCTCTCTCTCTCTCTCTCTCTCTCTCTCTCTCTCTCTCTCTCTCTCTCTCTCTCTCTCTCTCTCTCTCTCTCTCTCTCTCTCTCTCTCTCTCTCTCTCTCTCTCTCTCTCTCTCTCTCTCTCTCTCTCTCTCTTACTCAAGCTACTAGTGTGCATGAAAGAGCTCTACAGGTCAGACACCCGTCGTATTTAACAGCGGTTTGACAGGTCTAAATTGGAGTTAACTGAGAGAGCCTGGCTGTAGCTTTCCCCCGCAGTTGCGTCTCATCACCATAACCCGTAAATATGACTCGAGTTTTTCCTGGCTTCGTCAATTTGCCATATAATGCCGATAATGCTTTACATAAAAAGTCTCTGGATAGGTTCCGATGATGCCGATGCCGTATAAGAGTCGGCACAAATTGAGCTCCATGGAAACAAGACCAGTCTCCATGGTAACAAGAAGGAGTCGAACGTCTAGAGCTATCATTAGAAGCGTCGCCAGGACGATGCTGTTAATCGCTGAAGCCTGGCGGACGCACTGGAGGTTCCTGACTTTATAGGTGCTTCCCCATTTAACGTTCATGGCCGGGGTTGGTGCCCGACAAATTATCAAAACTTTCCGGTAAATTTGAACCCGAGATGTGTGATCACTGGAAATTAGTCGCGTCTCTTCATACTTAGCGGAGTTTTTGGTATCCATCTCCCTCAAAGTTCATTACTATGGTATTCTTGCCATTCTGATTCTGCAATACAAAAGAATTTAGCAAGCTGCCTTTGAGATATACATACCAGGATTCAGTGAACCAAATTAGCCGAACATTTAATCTTTATTGAAACATTCCAGATTAATTTTTATTCAAACCTTACTTGATTGAGTTATAATAAAACTTATCTACAATTAAAAGAACGAGTCGCCAAAAAGCCCTCTAAGAAAAACCTATCGTCGTAATCTTATCCGTCTATTAAGACTCTAGATAAGTTATAAATAGAATATAGGTAGATTACTCCCAGATTTATTATTTTCATGTTAACACAACTCGGTTCTGGCCTCTTAAAATTGTTTAAGGTTAACCTATCAAATCTTCAAATAATCTTTTAAAACATAAAAGAGATACGAAAAGTTGTTTTAGCTGGAGCTTTCAAAATACATGTGTAAATGTGTGAATCGTCTTCAGCTTCAAGTAACCATTTGACTCTAACCAAATTGCTCCTCATGTAACCAAATTGCTCCTCATGTAACCAAATTGCTCCTCATTTAACTGAATTGCTCCTCATTTAACCAAATTGCTCCTCATGTAACCAAATTGCTCCTCATTTAACCAAATTGCTCCTCGTGTAACTGTAACCAAATTGCTCCTCGTGTAACCAAATTGCTCCTCATTTAACCAAATTACTCCTTAAGTAACCAAATTACTCCTCAAGTAACCTAATGATTCTCCAGCTAACCCAGTAACTCCCAGGTTATTAAGCTCAACAGCTGGTCTGGACTGCACGATGCTGAACGTCAAAGACGGAGTTCTTGGCATGTCCTCGCTACCTAGCAACTTGGTTTCCACTCTGAACATGATGCAGCAAACCCCAACATCCTGCAGTGCCTGTGTCTTCAACCCTATTATTGGGAACATCCCCTGCTCCAACCACCTCGAGTAAGTTGTCTTCATCACAAACGGACTCCTGACAAAACTGACAGTTGTCTCGATAAATTCCTCTGTTTTCTATTGATAAAATTGACAGTCGTCTTGATAAAACTGGCAGTAACTTGGTAAAACTGGCACTGAGTCTGGTCTTCTGATAACTGTATATTTGATTTGATTTCCTCTTTCCTAATGTTCCACGTCAATGATAAGATTGTCCAACCGTTCAACACCCTCGTGTGATCGACTCAAATTGACGCCAATAACCGACAACACGGATGGTGATCCTGAAGTTACAGACAAACGTACAGACGATAATTGGAACAGGATTGAGACAAAGTGAAACCACCAGTCACTGGCTCAACCGTCGACAGACTGACAAGTGACAGGACTTACTTACCTCATCATGGCGACGTCCGGCATTACCTGTTAAGTCTGACGCCACAACCTCTTGGTATTTACTGACGATAACCACTATTATAACCCCATCGTCTCCTCTCTCCGTACGTGGAGACCGTCTCCTACCTATCTACCTCTCTCCAGAGGTTGCTAGAGCTTCAGACCCTGACACAGACATCCAGCTATCATCTGATAGAGCACCACAATATCCCGCTGTCTTTACCACAGACTTACTCCACCAGACTATATCCCACTTTGTGCAGCCTCATTGTTGAGATTTGCCAATATAGACGCACAATGAGGACGTATTATTGGTGACAGACAGTATCACCTGTGTGAAGATAGGTTCCTGACAGGAGGGGGGTTGGTACAGATAGCTGACGAAACCTACTATAAACCCTGCTATCAGTGCGTACCTGCATGTGATGGAGGGTGCTGTTCCGATAACAGGGGGAGATCATGTGGCTAATGGCTGGTAGGAGGCTGTTATTATCTGACACTGCACTGACAAAACCATGATCCCAACAATTGACAGGTCCCCCTCTTGACAACCATTTTCCTGGTGATAAAGCTCACAAGTTCTTATCTCTGCCTACTGCTCCAAACTCACTAAAGACTATTCTTACCTAATTCGATTAAATTGTCTTCTTTCTGTCACTTTTACCCCTATTGCTTCCTTTATCTGCATGACTCTCAATTAACCTAGTTCTTATCCTTCTTCTCCTCCCTCCCTCCATTGAACCCTCATACTCCCCTATCTTATCATCCCTCTGACGGCTAATTACATTGAATTCTTTAGAAATTAAGTCAGATTAAAGATGGAAACATTTTGCCTTCTCACTCTCTTTTCCTATCGGCTCTATCCCCCAGTTTTACTCCTCAGTCCTCACTAAACTCACTCTAACCTCTATATCCCTAGTTTTACTCCTCTTTTCTCACTCTAACCCCATTCCTCACTCATTCCTCACCCTCCATCCCCACTAACCTCCCTACTTCTCCAGGCAAATAAAGGAAGCAGCTCTGTCCCGCTACGACATCCTCTCCTCTCAACTCCAACTCGGACTCCTCGCCTCTGGATACCCTGTCCTGCCTATGTCACGTGACTTCTCACTCACAGGTATGTTGCATTATTATTTGAGGCAATTATTTGATAAGCTAATTTACTTATTGGTTCATTTTAAATTGCCCTACTCTAGTGAATCACATTATTGGTCACTGTCATCAAAAGTTGAAAAAAGGGGCTTGTGATGATCTTAAATTGTTCCGTTTGGCATATCTGCCGAATGAGTATGAGTGGCAGGAATGGCCGTACCAGTATCAAAGTGTTATCTCTCCATTTCTCCAAACTTGTTTTGAATCCCGTGGATCAGCTCGGCCCGCCTAATTCAATTTCTAAGCATCATGGTACGCCCCGTCATCTCCAATTGTTACCTCATAAAAACTATTAGGGAAGTAGTGTCCGCATTATCTCTCTTACCGTTCATGCCAGCCTGGCTTATCTTTAGAAGGCGTGAATTGGAGTATTCCCTCTCCCACAACCATGCACCCTTTTAACGGCATACTTTATACTTATTATTTGGTATGGGTGTTATGCGGTAATCTTATTATGCGGTAATCTTATCATCGGAGTATCAGGTGAGTTTTTATCAATTGGAATAAATTTTAAAGTTCATGATGTCATTTTGTTGAAGTTGTGGTTATTCCCAGAAAATGGAAGAAAGAAAAAAAAGACAAGGACGACGTTTAGCAGGGCTCAAGTGTTCGGTCTGGAACGAAAATTCGCTACTCAGGTATTTACAGTTTGGTTAATTCTATTGTAAGGTCATTATTTAGAATTGATGGCTTCCAGCTATTGGATGGGCTATTATGTTGAGATTCCACACCTCAATAGCGGATAAAACATTTTGTCTTTCAATTGCGGCTTGAAAAAGATTAATGAACCATTCCTATAACTGCTCAAGAATTTGTTAATTGGCTAAATTTTACGGACTCCTTTGCAGCTAATTTATATCAGAGATTCTCAGTGGTTGCATTAATTGCCATTGCAGTTTTGCTCTATCGCTTAAAACATTTGATATTGATTTATTAAATTCCATACAATCTCGAGTGCAAGCCAATGGATAGGCAAACAGTTTAAGGAGGAGTTGAAAATGTTATAACACTTAATTGGCACTTGTAGTTGTACGCCGGATTTTAAAAAGCAAATCGTATCTCGAACTAACTTATTAATAGGCCTTTACCAGTGAGGAATGAAGCTGGAATGTCATTATATTTACATAATAGCCCTGTTAACAAGACTATTAACTGACTGTTTAATCAATGAAGTCATGACTGAGGAGGTCTGAAAATAACACGTCACTTGGACCAGCCCTGTCAAATCAAATGTTTAATGTCAGGCCGTCCTGGGCTAATTGCAGGTGCACTTACGTAATGGTAAAAAGGAAGTTGAAAAAGTTGACGTAAGGATATGTAGCTGTGGGAAGTTTCAAGTATTCTGTTTGCATAGAACAACGGTTAGGGCTAGATATAACCGTTTAACTAGACCTTGGTTTAACAAGACGGGGACTGGCTCTGTCATATTCAGGGTGTCACTTCTTCCTCCCATCCCAGTATTACGGGAAAATTAAAAGCCCATTCATGGTTAATTTTGGGAATTTTATCCAAGGCTGCCTAATCTTCACACCCACTTTTTCAGAAGTACCTGAGCACGCACGACCGGATCCTCCTGGCAGCTGCTCTACAGATGACCGAATGCCAAGTTAAAATCTGGTTCCAGAATCGAAGGTAAGAAATATTTAAAAAAGGATAATTGTTCGTCACTGTTGTTTCTTTCTATGATTTTCCTATATTGCGCATTTTCCAAATATCCAGCTGCCAGGACTCGCATACTTGCTACGTGTTAAACATGTGTTAAGTTAAAATTTCTGTACCTGTTCGCCAAGACTTAAATCGTCTATAGATGTTTATTACTTATCGCCTGTTACCCCTAGCTTACAAGTTTTACATCAGCTTATTAAACATGGGACACCTATGGTTTACGTTAGGTCACCCCATAACTTAGCAGACCATATGCCAATCGCCCTATATCGGGGTTGTGCAATGTGTAGCTTACTTTTTAGAGTTTTCTCTAACTTGTTGGTCTGAATTTTTGTGCCACTCAATACTAGGTGAGCTTCAATTGGCGGGATATTAGGGTCAGATTTATAACAGGCCGTGCAGAGTGTCCCGTGGGTGGCCACACATGATCGGTCATTGCCCATCCCCCCTTATTCATAACTTGAAAGTTATTCCCCTCGGCTGCAATGATTGGCCTACCTATCACATGATCCCTCATGACCCCACAGAATGCCACCACTTGCCACTATCGGACAAACTTTTCCATTACCACAGACTCCGATCAATAAGGAACATTGTAAGCTGTTGACACTGACAAGTGATCTTAATTGTTCGCGACCTATCCAAAAACGTTTAATTCGCTGTCCTGACAAACTCTTCTAGGGCTTGATAAACCTGTTAACTTGTTAAAGAGCTGGGCTCGCAAATTAGCGGGTGCCATATTGACAACAATAAAATGGAGGTGAAATACCTAAGTGGGTAATATCGCCAATAACACCTGGCTTAATGTTAACCAATAGTTTGTGAGGGGAAGTGAAGGGGAATAGGTCTACGTGTCCAATAAGGTCGAAGCTGTTTTGTAGCATCGGATAAAATGTTAAACCATTTGTTTCGTGAAGGAATTTCTTCTCGTTCTAAACTAAATTGTGGGATTATAATGTCGCACTCTCTGATATGCACGTGAGAGCTATTAGAGAAATACTTTTATCGTACCTGGTGCGGTTATTTTTTAAATGCATGAATTTAGTGGAAGTACGTTTTGCATTAACTTTCTCGATAATTTCGATTTAATTTACGCTACTTATTCCAGAGCAGTAGAGGATGAAATTCCGAATTAAACCTGACATTTCCGGAATTAACTTCCAATTACGTCCTCATTATATTTGATGATTTACCAGCCGAACGAGGGAGGTCGTTGAAAAGTGGAGCTTTCATTTTACTCTCCAGTTTCACATAGTCGCGGTAGTAACGGTAATGAACCGTTAACTACCACCACATGACGTCACCTTATGACTCGCCCAGACCTTATCGCGTCGTCATGGTCACGGGACGCGATCCCGTGATCACCATGCCATCACGTGATACCTCGAGGAGGTTCTATTAACAACGTAATAACGACAGTATAACGCTAAGTAGGTGGTGAAAGCGAACAATTTTCACGTCCTATCTCGTAACTAGGACGGTTCGATCCGACCAAATGTGCTTCTCGCCAATGAATAAATATTCTAGGTTATCCTAAGCTGGAAGGCAATTAGATGGGGGTAGACTAGCCCAGAACCGGACATAGGAAGAACGCGGAAGTACACGTGACCTCGAATAGTTACCTGGTCACGACTGTAACCTGCTCTTTGACTCGGTGGGAGATATCCCTGGGCTAAGCTGCTCCCTAAGGTACCGGGGTGCAGATGGTGGGGATATTGCGGGTCACGTTATAAGTCACGTGATACCTGACATCACCACTTTTGTAGCTCTTCTTCAGAGGGGATCCTGCGCCTTCCTCCTATTTCTCCTCCTCCCTCCTCCTCCCTCCTCCGTGCTAGGAGATGAAGTGCACATTGTCACCGATAACACTGAGTAGTTCGTGAACGCACGTGCACTGAACAAGAATACCGGTGATACTTTCTAAGGTGCACGTCACGTGATATGTGCACGTGGTGCAGATTCTTGATCTGTTGCCTCGCAACGAGCAGCACAGAGTTGTTATCCAACTTCTCATCAATAATCTTTGTAAATCTGAGATAATTAACAGCTACTCAGGATACTCAGCCAGAAGCCTTATTTTTCAAAAGATTTTTTGTAGCCATTGTCTCCCTACGAGCCCTAATTTCGCACCATCTCCACTTATCAGCATTTCATCTGCAGATAAGGTGGGTTGAAAATGTGAAGTCATATAAATCTCTCAGATTTATGGGTTCTCAATGCCGTACGGATGAATTAAATTTAAGTTGAGAGAATTTTACGGGACATAAAATAATGAATTATCACTCGTTGTGGGGGCAATTCTTATTAGTTTGATAGACGATCATTTAAAGTGTTAGATATGTGGTATGGTACACAGTGGTACAAAAAGATGACATGTTTTCCTCCGAGAGACAATACAATTACTGCCCAGATAGGACGGGAACTTGTTTTTCTGTATTGTTCAAGAAGGAGCGAGGGTTTAGTGTAATTAACCAGACGAAACTTTGTGTCTCACTGTCTCAACCCCCCTCTCTTGCTCCAACGTGTTCGACTGCAGTAGATTTGCTAATGAATTTCCCAAACAAGTTTAATGGATAAAGGACCCATCTAATCTGCGGATTAAATTGAGGAAGCAGTTATAAAGGTGTTGCCATGGTGTTGCCATGGCTGATGGCGTGTCACGTGATGGCCATTGTTTTAGCACGTGCTACATCTCTCTCGGCACAAGCCCTCACTTGTCAGTTTTCAAGCTTTAATCAGATTAAATGGTTCTAACATACGTGCGAATTTCGGTTAATTCGGTCAATAAATTGAGGAGTATTAATGCAATTCAATTAGAGAGTTAATGCAACAATCAATTAATTTCCGCGGCTGTTTCTCCGCCATGCTGCTAGTGGGAGGGTGCTAGTGCACACCCTGCTGGCTTTTTCCTTACTACCGTTGTTTCCATGGGAATAATCGGCTCTCAAACAGAACCGTGATAATTACTTTTTATCTGTTAAATTGAAAGGAAATTGGTAAGAAATAGTAGTGTGGCAAAAAATTAAACTGCCAATTTTGAATTTTCCATCGAGCTTGAATTACCAGCAAAACGGTCATTTTAGCTTTTTAATGTCTCATTTTATAAAATAACATTAAGCGTGCACGAAATATTGATAAAACTGAAATTGTGAGTCCTCCTTCAAATTATGGAAAAAGGGTTTCTTTAGTAAGTAGTAACCCAGGAGTCTATTTCACTTGTGGACAGAAACGTTTACCAGACGGTGCATGTATGAAGTGTTTGAATTGGGCATAGGCCATAGACCAGACAGCGAAATGGATCAGTCCAGCCAATTTTTTATCTTCCTGTTTTAAGAAACTTAACTGTTTGATATATCGGAATGATTGAAAACTTTTGCTTTCAGAACCAAGTGGAGACGTGAGAAAGCCATGATGAAGCAGGGAAACAGGAACAATCTTTTGATGTCATGTGATAGTGATCACATGATCTAGCAAACCTGACGATGTGATCCAGTTTAACTGTCGACAAAATGACGTCCAGCTCTCCAGTGAAGATATTCTCCGGCCCAAAGTATAAGTATCCTGTACTTGGATCTAGGAAATGTGATTACCGACGATATGAATCGTCAGCCACAAACTGAAGTACCCGATTTGAGATGCGTTATCTGAAACCGATGAATTTATTTGATGTTTGATATTTGATAAGTTTTAAGAATTTATTAACTGTATGTTCTTTTTTGATGATTTTTTGGAATGATTGTTGGTATTATGATAAGCGGTGGAGCGCCGTACTGACTTTCTTTCGTACATTTCTTAGCCTGAGGCCTTTTTATATTCAATACAGTTAAATCATGAAGTATATTCATGGACTGTAGATCATATTGAAACGGAGATCTGCAATAATATATTTTGTTAGAGTTCGATAGTACATTCGAACATCTTCCGTAAATCTAATTCACTAGTTCTTCTTGTTCTTTTTCTACTTAATTTTGTTAAATGTTAGTTTTTTTGTTAATCAAGATTAAACTATGTAGTTTGTACATTTATACGTTTGTTGTATTTTATCTCTTCTTAGATATATATACTTAATTTACCGTTACATACAATTTGAATAAGTAGTTTTATTTTCTTGGGGCACATATTGATATTCTACATCGTAAAATACGCATATTCGATTTTAATAATTACTGTAATAATATTATCATGAAGACTTTATACCACAGAGGTCAGACACTTGAAACAGGCGTATAAACGAATATTTTCATGGAATAGTCAAGAATAGAACATAATATAACCAAACAATGGTTTGTATTGTACCCGATGATTGGTGTTGTTGTATCTAGTTGACTAGTTGACTATGCAATGACACTATTTGTAATATTTCTCTGTCCACCTATTTGGAGTGTTTCACTGCTTGTCAGTTGAGCACTTTTTAGAGAACCAAGCAAACTAATTATAGGTAGTCACAACCCCACACGTCAAGCTTAAGAAAATGTCCAAAATTCTTGTAGCTGTTACATTTTCAGAGGGGGAAATCCGTTATTTAGTCTCTTTACGTAAGGTTAAAAAAGTTTAAATCAGCTCTAAATTGTCAGACTCAGTCGTGTCCTCCCGCCGATTGGTCCAAATTTCGTCAATTTGTTTGTCGCGCCTTACGTCTAGGGTCAAGCAGTTTTACAATAGATACGCCCATCAACCACTAATCAAGATACTTATCTAGATTACTGGGTAAAATATCTTTTAAGGTATCAGAATAGCACTGTTCCATTTTGTTACGATTACTCAAATGCCTCACTTAAGCGGTCTGACGTGGTAACTAATATGTCTTTTTCAGCTATCTTATGTGCTGTGAGACAGGGTATTGTGGGTTACATATTGTACCTGCAGTTATCTGGTTATTATTATAGTATTGGTATATTACAGAACACCAGCAAACCATTGTTGAGTTTAATTAAAAAGTACCCGCAAATAATATGTAATGTTTGGATCACTTGACACATTTAAACATTATTTTTAATTTTACGGTACGTCCTTCCAGTGTGATCCCATCACACAGAATTGGCGGTAATTAATCGTGAAGAATTTGAATATTCAAACATACCCTCCAGTTTTTCTACCCAGCAAAAGATATCACAGCAAACCGCGGTATGGTACAGGGGACGGAACTTTCTTTTTTATTGTAAAAAGTTAAAAGAAGGCCTACCTTACGAAGTAGGCCTTCTATTGCTTATTAAAAATAAGCAAGCTCTGTCAATACTATTATATTGGCCACGGCAGAGAAATTTCGGGAGCAGTGAAAGATAACAAACACTGTCGGTCTTTTATACCCTCTGAAGGATTATAAGTTAAGTTGAGGCTGATAAATTTCATGAAAGGCTCCGAAGAAATTGTTTACAAGATGAAACAGCTGATCACAAACGATCTTTGTATTTAATTTTCTCAAATATTAGGTTTCATTTTTGTAAAATAAGAAGATGAAAAAATCCCCAAATACCATGATTTAATTTGGGGTACGAAATGTGGCGGTTTTCGGTAACAATTCCCATTTTTTCGATCCCAAATGATTTAGGTCACCGGAATTATGTCGAACATAAATAAGGTAACTTTAAAAGTAGACATTTACTATATTGCCATCAGCCGACTCCAAATCAGAAAGAATTCAGAATTGGCCCAATTTTTATTCCCAACATAACATTGACAGGAATTCATTTTCACTAAGACCCCAATTTTCACTAAGACTCCACCTTTCACTCAAGACTCCACTTTTCACTAATACTCCACTTTTCACTAAGACCCCACTTTTCACTAAGACCCCACTTTTCACTAAGACCCCACTTTTCACTCAAACTCCACTTTTTACTCAGAATCCACTTTTCACTAAGACCCCACTTTTCACAAAGACCCCACTTTTCACTAAATCTCCACTTTTCAGTAAGACTCCACTTTTCACTAAAACCCTATTTCTTAGCACCACATCTAATTTGAGGCGGTACCTTTTTCTCAACCAAATCTTTGTTCGTTGTTGAGTAACAGTTCAATTATGCAAATTTTATAATACTAAAAACTTAATACCATAAACTTAATGCTATAAACTTAATACCATAAACTCTATACTATGTATAGAGTGCACATTTTATTTGTTGGTAAGAGACAAATTCATTCAAACAATATACACAAATGAATTCAGCAATGGTATTGTTTAACTACACTTACAGTAAAACCCACATTAACTGCGCCCCGATATATAAATTATAATACTGCAAACCCTGATTTATATTTTACCCAAATAATTTTCCTTTCCCCAAATAAAATAGGACTTAACATTAACAATTAGCAGACATAAATATAATGTATGCCGACCATATTTTTAGAAATAACCATTTTTATGCTAAACCCCAGCTCCCCTGCTACTATTTCACCCACAGCGACTAATAGCCGGCAAGATGATAGTGGAAACAACACAGGGCGGAGTGTTACACACGACCAACAGTGTGATAAGTGTAAAAGGTGGTTTAAGCACGTGAAGAAACACGCGAGATTTTGTAAGCAGACACCGGACAAGAGCCTGGAAGAGGATGCCGTAGGCATTATCGGTCAGGAAGGAGTTAACACGGAGACGGAACCCAGCCTGGACACAAACCACAGTGCAAAATGGAGGACGTCTACGTCTGCAAACTTTAGATCTCACGCAGATCCACCAGAACCGGTAGTTATTAAAACTCGATTAAAACTACCTAAGGCCAATGCATATTAGGTGGGACAAGATTGATCAAGACCTCGGTCTAATTGGTCTCCAGTTCACTACACACAGCGACCCTATTAAGGGTTTGGAGTTACGTGAGAACACCACCTATGATTACCTCGAGTTGATATGCGAAGTTGGTTCAACAAACATTATACCATCGAAGAAAAAACCGAGACTTGATGCTGAGTGCAGACAGTTGAGGGAAATGAAGAAAGAGAGTAGGAAGGAATGGAAGAGAGTATGTGACTCGAATGATGGACTTGGAGTGGTGGCAGTTCAAGTAAATAAATCGCTCGCCCCAATTTTTAGAAAAATCCTTGTGAAAGGGCCCTTATGGGGCTCTTACTAATTCGCTCGCCCAAAAATTTCACGTGACTTTGGTTTTTATGGTTTTGCAGCCGTACAAAACGGTTTTATATAAACCATAATCCCAACCCTAACCCTAACCATAACCCCGAAGCTAACCATAACCCTTACCACAACCCTAACCCTAACCCGAGCCATAAACAATCGAATTCGTGTTTTACTAGCCTGTCACGTGACCAAAGCGGTTTTTTGCCCATAACTCTCCAAGTAAGCATTTTTACCCTACGTCATGGGGGGTGATTCGGAATCAGCGTCCAAAAATACATCGATTCCGACCCATTTTATACCCAAAGGGCCTTTTCACAAGAATTTTCTTAAAATTTGGGCGAGCGATTTAGTAGGAGCGCCCTTATGGTGTGAAAATTATCATAATCACTGTATTTTCGGACGTTGACTCCAAATCTAGGCAGTGCGCCATCGACAATAAGACGCGCGCGCTGACCATTGAATGGTTTTTTAGCTCTTATTTCGGCCAGCACATTATTTTGGAAACAATCGAAAAGTTATATTATAATACTTCCCATATAACAATTTTGTTGAAATTTGGTCAGCTTACGTAAACACTTATGTTCTACTGAACCTAATTTAGTTTAAGCAATTTCGATGGTCAAAATTTGAGTTATCAACGAATTTATACCTTTTTTGTCATTTTTAGACCTCTTAATCAAGGCCAATCCCTCCCAACTAAATTAGGTTCGGTAGTTAAGTATGATTGGAAGGTTCTGACAAATTTTCAGCATGATTCATGTTCAGGAACCGAAGATATGACAGAATAATACGACAAAAATCAACGAATTTCGTCAAATTACGCGACTTTTACACCTAATTTTGCTCCAAAAGCCGCGCACCATCAAATATGGCACCTAGGAGAAACTCACTGATCATTCCAAAAAGGTATAATAAATTTGGTACTGTGAAAATTCTCACAGTCTCTAGAAAACGATGGTACAAAATTTTGAAAATCCGAGCAAGTTTATTTTTATCGTGCACCGCCTACCAAATCACCCCCATGAGTCATGACGTAGGGTAAAAATGCTTCTCTGGAAAGTTATGGGCAAAAAACTGTTAAGGTCACGTGACACGCTAGTTAAACACGAATTCGATTGTTTAGGGCTCGGGTTAGGGTTGTGCTTAGGGTTATGGTTATAGCTTCGGGTCATGGTTAAGGTTAGGTGTTAGGGTTATGGTTTATTTAAAACCGTTTTGTTCGGCTGCAAAACCATTAAAACGTAAGTGACGTGCATGATAATTTTTGGGCGAGCGAATTAGTAAAAGCCGTATTTATTGATTATTGATTATGTAATGTGTGAGGGATCCCTGTGGCTGTTTTCCGCCCCACAGAGAATGTTTTCCACCGGCATTTTGTCGAGCTGAATCTCCTGCACCCTGCAATATCCTCGATTTGCTTGAGTCTTAAAAATGGCGAGCTGGAGGCCAGATTAACAGGTTTTAATTCGACAATTCACAGCTAGTTCAGATAGTGAGCTATGTCCAATTTAAGGAGGATCTGGAGGAGTCATTCTAGAGCCTATAAAATAATTTCCATCGGTATTTTGGTAAGCTGGACCTCATGCACCTTCGGAATATCCTCGCTGGAGGCCAAGCTAAAGGACTGGGCAGGTTTCAATCAAACCGTATCAGATATACAGTATTTCTGAAACGTTGTGATTTCGTGAGGCATGCGCTGTCATTTTGTGAGGCATATCTGGTTTCCTGGAGTTAAATCCTTAACATGAGTATCTTTTTTGGGTAACATTTATTCGGTTAGGGAACCTGAGCTATGATATGGTTTATGTGGACTGTTATTTTGTGAGGCATCCACTCGTATTAGGACTAAGCGTTTGAACTACTTGAATTTAAGGATGACGAGTTTGAGGTACAACTAAAAGGCGGGATTTTTTGACAAATTTTGGAATCAAAACTACATAAACCAAGTTTAAAATATCAAATATAAATATCGATGTCTGATAAAATCACTTTAAAGGTCCTGTGAGGAATAAGTTCACGACAAGAGTTTGTAAATCTTCCTTTATCCGAGTCACTGAGAAGAAGAACACTTGTTGTATTGACAGCTTGAAGAATACCAATCTCAGTAGACCATCTAATTCTATACTATTATCATATTCATATCCAATAACATCCTTACAACCAGCAGCATCTTAACAAGTTTAATGTTCTCTAGACTGGAACTGGATCTTAAAATCCGGGCCAGGAATAGACGTCAAGTCAGTCAAATCTCTTCTCAGATCCACCCCTAACTGCTGAGTTGTGGTGACCTTTAAAGTTGTAGATCACAGCTGCCACCAATATTCTGGACTCCAAAGAAGCAAATCTCTGTCCAATACAGTTCCTTGGCCCGGCAGAGAAGGGTACAAATGCGTAAGGGTTTCTCCCGCGGCTGTTCTCAGTAGAAAACCGCTCAGGGTCGAACTTTTCAGGTTCAGGCCAGAACTCAGGGTCTCTGTGGAGCCAATAGAGCATAATATCCACATCAGTGCCAGGCGGTATTGTCAAGCCGTCAACAGTCAAGGTCTCAGTGAGCTTTCTTGCAACGAAGGTAATGGGTGGTTGAATCCTCAAGCTTTCTTTAACCACCATATTCAAATAAACCAGACTCGTTACTTCAAGGGCACTAAACGGTCTTCCAGCTAGTTTTTCGTCTATTTCTTCATAAAGACGCTGCTGCACCTCTGGATTCTTGCACAAGTAGTATAAAGTCCAGCTGACTGAAGCAGTGGTTGTTTCGTGTCCTGCCAAAAGGATTGCGTTACTTTCCCCCAATATCTGCTCATCAGTCAGGTTTCCCTCTAGTGCTTGCAATTCGACCATGTGATCTAAAAATGACTTTCTGCCGTTGTAAAGTCGGGTTTCCCCCGAAGCGAGCTCTTTCTTCCGATCCCTCACAAGTATCATCAACATAGCATTTAGGTCGTTTATAGCTTGAGCTTCAAGCTTTCCATTCGACGTCACGTTGTAGTAGTACCATTGGGAACAACTGCTCAGAAAATCCATAACATTTCTACTCCATAAGTAATGGAGTACTTTGCTAGTAGCATCCAGATACGGTTTCGATTCGTTTAGCGATTTGAAGGAGGTGCCAAACGATGTTTCAATTATTGTGTGAAGAGTTACATCAAGAATATGCTGCACCACCGGCCGAGTAGGATCCTGCTTGATGGCCTGGACAAGCAATTGGGAGTCTTCCTTCATTATGGTATCGAAATTCTCCATAACAGCGAAGTGAAATGCTGGGGTAAGTTGTTTTCTTCGAGTATGCCAAGCTTTGTGGGGCAAAATGAGGACACTGTCCTTTAACCACCTGAAAGTATGCAGCAACTGTTTATTAATTGTAGAAATAAAAAACTAAATTTGAACATAACGTGTTTTTAAATATGGGTCAATATATTTTAGGAAGTAGTCAATGTTTATCGGTGAAAATTCAAAATTTGAATACGAAAACTAGATAAATTTACCTTGTGAATTCGTTGTATTGATATGATTTATCTACGTTTGTCCTTGACTTAAAAAGTATTTCTGCGGTCTTAACACTTGATAGAGTTATTTCAGAAGCAAACCACATTTTCAAATGCCCAATCGCACCTAAGGAAACTATGGTTAGTATATGGGGGGGGGGGGGGGATAATTAGTTTTCAGCTCACATCAGATTATTTCTGGTTCTTCTGCCTAAGTCATTCAAGAGAAGACTCGTCGACTAGAGGGGAATAAAGTGACACGTGGTGCATCACAATTCACATGATATGTATAATGTATGTACAATGTAAAATGTATCTACACTGTATAATAAATTGTATAATAAATTGTCTAGTAAAGTTACTAATATCAAATATGTTTGCAGATCAGGGCCAGTCGACTCGACCAATAAAATGTTAATTGAATAGTTTTAATAGATAACATCACAATTATAATCTGTGTGCCCCTCGGGGATGAATATTTAACTTATTTCAATTATATATTACTTTTGAGTAAACATTGGCTGGTACTACGGACCAGTCCCCCAATCAATCGTCTATGGATGCCAATTGCCAGCCCTAATTTTACATGCAATCGTGCAAAGCTTAAAATTAGCTGCAGGCAATACTTGGTAACAGTTTGTGTTGCTATGTTTATAATGTTTGTAATGTTATGTTATGTTTACTTTACTCACTTCCAACGAATTTGGGATCAGAGAGATTGATAAAGAGTTCGTCGTACTTGTATTTATCAGCAGCTGTAATTCCGTTAAAAAGGTGAACATGCCCGTAGAAAGATTTAGATCCAGGGGTGAGAGGAATTCTGATTTGAGGGCCCGAGAATAGTTTCCACGTCAGGAAAAGGATGACAGCAACTGCCACCACTCCAAGTCCAATTAACATTTTTGTTATCAGCTACAGAAATGATTACGAGTTATCAAAAACATAAGTTAACATTTAACAATAATATCAAAGATTTTATTTTCGGTATGGTACCGGGATTTTGTCTGCAGTCGACCCAGCCTACAGATCATTATTAAATCCAATAATCTTATATGTCTTCAACATAATAAATTTTATGTTCTCATTTTTATACTATATCAATACTCAACTGTACAATTATGGGAGAATGAAACAGTGCAATTTTATGAAGGACACGATGAATATCGCAACCGCGTTAAATCATGTCCACAAAAAGGCAACGATTAAAGATTTGAGGGAGCAGAAATGATCAACATTAATACAACTTATGATAAACAGTGACTGACCATAACTAGGAAGTTTGAATTGTCAAATAATTAACACTAATAGTATTTTAGAAAACCTCAACCTACAAACTCATCATCGCAACGAGGGCAAAGATGTGCAATACATTCACTTCCTATCTGGATATTTTCAGAAATTACGGTCACGTACTCGATAGTTCGACACGTACTGTTGTTCGACAAAAGAACTGCAACTGGGTGAAAGGGATATTTTTAAATTTAGATTAGCTTTCAATTAAGTTTTTTCATTGAGCAATCTTGAGTCACATATGAAATTTGATAACGTTCAGTTTTTCGATTATGCAAGACCATCTTCGATCAAACAAAATATTCAAGTGGTCCCCATTGATCCAGTTACCAGTAATCTAGTTTGGCGGATCATCAAATACGACACATTTAATATTAACATAATATCTTTGAATTAAGATTTGCACTTTGTTTATCTTGGTGCCAACATCAGTGGGGATGGTACCATTGACCGAGATCTTGACATCAGGATCCAGCGTGCTAATGGTGCGTTCCATCAGCTTTGGAAGATATGGAACAGTAGAACTATAATAACGCCCACCAAGATCCGTATCTACAAGGCTGCTGTTATTACTGTTCTGTTATATGGAGCTGAAGTGTGGAACACAACAAAGAAGCAGATGAAACGGTTCGAGGTCTTCCATCTGACCTCCCTGAGAAGAATCTTGAAGATAAAGTGGTTCTTCTATGTCTCCAATAAAGAAGTTCTCAGGCGTGCTGGAATAAAGTCTATTGAAACTTTCATCGGTTCGGCTAGACTAAGGTGGTACGGACATGTTGTCAGAATGCCAGAGACACGGTTTCCCAATTTTCTACTGGATTGGAAACCAAACTATGGAAATAGATTGAGAGGACGACCACGCAAAGGCTGGATGGCCTGTGTACTCGAGGATGCGGCTGACTTTACAGGTGTCGATAACATCAGCAGAGACGCAGTAAAACAGTTAGCTCTAAAACGAGTGGAATGTAGGAACATGATACACCGTAGAAGAGATGTGTGTGATGCAGGCCACTCCAACGACTAGGAGGAGACCTCTTCATGTAGCATGTGTATGTACTATGTCTAGACTATCTGTACTGTAGACCCTGGTCATTAGGGGTCGTTCACATAATATTACGTAATCAGCCGCTTATGGTTGATTACGGGGGGGGGGGGGGGGAGGGGGGTTGGTCGTTGATTACGTAATAAACATTTTCTTTTCACCCTCTCGAATAATAACAATTTGAAAATATTTTAATTCAAATTCCACTCAATCTCACTCTGATTATAGTGATAAATTTAGAAATTGATCGGATATCCGACTTCTTCAACATTATACATTTTATATTCTCATTTGTTATACTATATCAATACTCAACAGTACAATTATGGGAGAATAAAACAGTGCAATTTTTACTGGGCGGCGCTCAGCCTGTCATTCCGCCGAATCTTTATTTATGAACATAATAGCCTGGGGTCCCCAGGTAATGCAATTTATGAAGAACACGATGAATATCGCAACGTTAAATTATGTTCATACAAAAGAAACGATTACAAATTTTTAAGGGAACATAAAAATGATCAACATTAATGCAACTTTATGATAAAACATGACTGACCATAACTTGGAAGTTTGAATTGTCAAATATTCAACACTAGTAGTATTTAAGAAAACCTCAACCTACAAACTCATCATTTTAACCTAAGACCCTAGATTATCAGTGATTCGTCTCAAACTCATTACGATCATGAAAGGGCAAAGATGTGCAACACATTCACTTCCTATCTGGATATTTTCTGCTGAAAAAGTGGTGGGTAATTACTTTACTGAGAATAACAGAAATTACGGTCACGTACTCTATAGTTCGACACGTACTGTAGTTCGACAAAAGAACTGCAACTGGGTGCAGAAAGGGATATTTTTTTAATTAGATTACCTTAGGGCCAATAAATGTTGGTTACAAAAATGTTGGTTACCATAATTTTAGTCGCAAATTTCGCAGATTTTTAGTCTACAACAATTTTAGTCACATTTTTTGACTTTTCGAGACCATTTTCCATTCCATTTATTTGATTTTTCCATTATTTACCTATTTTTTTCGATTTCGCACATAAAGTCATACTAAAAGGGGTCGTTTCACATAATTACTTCAATGAGTTAAACTAGATAAGGATATTGCCTGATGGGAAAAGGAAATAAGATAATGTGAAAGCCGAAAAGCAATGGATTACACGTGTAATAGTCAAAGTAGTTCAGCAGTAGGAACGGTGATGTCATTATATTAATTATAAACAATGTAAGCTCAATAAGCAAATCATCAGCTCAAATCATTGAGCAATCTTGAGTCACATATGAAATTTGATAACATTCTGTTTTGCGATTATAAGACCATCTTCGATCAAACCAAATATTCAAGTGGTCCCCATTGATCCAGTAACCAGTAATCTAGTTTGGCGGATCATCAAATACGACACATTAAATATTAACATACGATCTTTGAATTAAGATTTGCACTACGTCTATCTGTATTCTGTACTGTAATGCATTGTAAATTGTGACCTTTGCATATGCTGTTTTTGGTTAGGTTTGGTATTCACCAAAGTCCTAACGGTTTGGACTTTGGTTAACGAGCAGACTTGCCACATAGGTCCGGGACATGTTATGACTTATTATTACAAGGAATAACATTTACTTTAAGTGACATGATACGTAGGTAAATAATTTCGCGCGCGTCGCGTCGACATGTCACGACGCGCGCAGAATCCATTGAGCTGGCCTCGTAAGATTGTCGCCGCGGCTTCCAAATACTTAGATGTCCCTCCCTATATAGCCAGCCGTTTCTGTTGTACATCATTGTTTTAAATGTAGATTTCAGTTCGGTTCGTGTCGGCCGTAATACACAGTAGTACAATAAGGTCAAGTGGATACGACCACCATATACCAACTGCTCCACGGGAATAGAAGTGAAAGTTTACAGTGTACAGCGAATAATTGAGATAAGTGCACACTGATGGGGGCGTCACGTGACCCTGGTAGCGTCACGTGACCCTGTACAATACGTATTAGGAGCAGGGAGAGGTGGGCAGTCTGACATTGCTTGATGAGGGCAATGTCCTCTCACTGTACACTTCAATAACTTGGAGATGTTTGGAGCGAAATGTATTTAAATTCTGGGCCGAATTAAAAGGGTGGGTCGCAGCAAGAGGATATATTTTGTAGAGTAATTTACGTCACCACTGGTGACGTCACCAGTGATACAAATTAAACAGGGAAGGATGAAGCACTTTAAAATATTGACCTTAAGAGGAGGCTGTAACGATTTAATTTTCATAACAATTTAAAATTCTAAATAAGTCAGGGTGGGTGGCATAACAATTTAAAATTTTAAAGTAGGTAGTCGTAGTAGGTAGGGTAAAGACCTAAATGAGGCATAATAATCAACATCATGACGGAGGCTTTTAAAATCCTACGACATTATGAGGTCAGCTAGAAAATTTGCTCTCCTCGATAATTCTTAAATAAATTTATCAAAGTAAGAGCCATCCTTGCGAAATATGTGACCACCCGACAATGTTGTTAAATGACTTGCAAGCTGATAGATTGCATGTTTAGCTTGGTTTTCATATCAGGACTTCAGATGCACTTTCTATCCTTTCCAAGTTGCGGGTAAAATGAGTTTTGTGCGTGCGATTAAAATATCAATATTATTTGAGAACAGAAATCAACAATCGTTTACAGAAGGACAGTATGATGGGTTAAAACACCCAGAAATTGCAATTTTATTTTATTGAAGATAATTGATTATGATTGACAAGAGAAAACGCATTATACTCACTTTCAGCCTAATGACAAAATTGGAATCTGTCAAGAACGAATGTTGAGACACGACAATTCGAGACACAAAATAAAGGGAGCCGAAATGTCCAGATCTTTAGCCAATGTACAGATTTTTAGCCAATCATATCTAAACTTTCGTCAAATTGAGCTAATTCTTACAACGCTTTGCATTCTTTACTAAACTTACATTGATATCAGTTTTACGACAAAGTCCATATTATATGTACATTTTCAAATTATTTAATGAAATTTGTAACATTATAATCAACTATTGCAGTTCAGATTTCAGAGGAACACCACCTGGATTTTTAGCGATCTATTTCCAAATTTATTTATTACACATACAAATAATCATCTAAGTATTTAAGAATAAGACTTTAATATTCAATAAATTATCAGAATATTTATTAAGAGAATCCACAGAAGTCCATGCTAAAACATCCTACACCCGGTGTAGGAATACTACACCCCTGCATTATACACACTATGCGTTCTGTAAAATGATATGTACAAGTCCACAAAAAGATTCTTGAAATACAGTGATTGGTGAAATTGTAAAAGCCTAAAAACTAAACAGCTTATAAACGACTATACAAAGCTTCCGTAAAATCAAATACCATGGAACCGACTGACATAGCTAAAGTATCAGCTTCACGCTGAGTTGCGCACTCCGCGTGCACTCTTACACAGTTCTCTGTACCACTGGGCCGCACAAAGCACCGCGCGCTCGAGAAATCTGACACAAGCGCGTCTACCTTCTCCTGCATGCCCTCAGGGGAGGATATCTTGCGTTCAGCATCTGTAGTCTTGATAATATCCCTGTCCCTGATATTTATCTTCAATTGTCTGTACGGTAGATCAGCGTACATTTCATTCCAGGATGCCGGAGATAGTTTGCATAGTTTCAGTATTGTTTCTATTGCTAGGATGTTGGTCACAGCGTCTCCTACTGCGGTGTTGATTAGTTTGGAGAAAGCAAGGAGTCTTGTTACCGCTGACTTCTGTGTTTTTCTAGTTTCACGAACTGTAGGGGTGTGATATTTAGGTTAATCATCCGTTCTCAGAGTCATTATGTATCAAGTCGATTATATCTATAAATAAATGAATTTGTCGACAATATAACCAGATCGCTTGTAAACCGTGACAATATAACCAGGTCGCTTGTAAACCGTGACTAATGACTACAATAGAAACATTAAAACTGAACGATATTCACCTGATCTGATATTGATCATCTCCATGGCAGTATCACTAAACAGAACAGTACCGTGTCCATTAGCTTCAAAATAAACCCCCACATCGAAATCCTCAGCTCGTTTGTGGAGGTGTTTTACTCCAGTTGGTACGCACACTACAGGTATTCCTTTAGAGTAAAGGTAGGAGGTGGAACTTCCGTTAGCGTACGCAGTTTGTACTACCTGCAAAATAGAGTAGAGAGGGGAGCCGGGGGCTGGTTGAGGGGGAGGGAAGGGGGATGGGTGAGAGGGAGGGAAGGGGGTGAGTGGGAGGGAAGGGGGGGGGGGGCTTGGAGGAGTCAATGAAGCATGCCAACAAATATTAAAAGCCTAATCTCTCTGTTGTGTAATAACTCTGTTGTGTAATAACTGTGTATCCGCCGTGATAAGACATATTACTATATATTTACATTGAAAATGTAATCAAATTACTCGATAAAGTTGCTATCCAGCGTTACAGAGTTAAAGGTGTAACAGTTTGTTAAGGGTGTAACAGATGTTAAGGGTGTAACAGATGTTACACAAGTTAATCTAATCGACCACAGGAGAAATAAAGGAGTCTTCTAACCAAATTATACGGTGAAGATTTAATTAATTAACAGGTTATAGTGAAGGATTTGTAATTTAAAAACCACACTTAATAATCGTGTATAAATTCATCATATAAGTGACAACAAAACTTGGAAACTATAATCACGTACACAAGATTTTACGAGTTTGAAAAATTCATAATCTAGTCTAGTCTAAATCTGATATCATGCAAAATTTATACAACCAAAAATATTTGGGTGGCTGTAATTAGGGAAGGAGAAAATACTTCTTCAACAGAAGATTTACAAACAACATTATAACCCTTTTCACCCTTTTAAAAAGTAATTTGATTGCAGTTAATAAAATATATTAAATTATGATTTACCCCGAGTGAGAGGTTGAGCTCTGCTTCTTGCATCAGAGAGTTGAGAAACCAAGCGAACAGTGTAGCTATCTTATCTCCATCTAACATGTAAAATTTGTGGTCCTGAACAATATTATCATAGAATTTAGATCAGTACATGTAACTGATAACAATATTATCATTATAGAGTTTAGTTCAGTTTATAACTGATAACAGTCCTGGACAACATTATCATTTATTCGGCTTAGCTGGGTAGGACTCTAATAATAAATTCCATTAAAAATGGTCGTTTTTGTGAATTGACATTTGAGCGATAAAAAATAGAAAAATAAAGTTTTGACAAATATGGTTAACAGAATATAATATGTAGTATGTATTTACTAATATAATAGTAATATAATAGTAATATAGTAGTATGTAGTATTGTAGTAGTACCTGAGAGTAGAAGAAGAGGGACCTGTCAGCGTCGCCATCTATTGTGTAACAATGTTCATTCTCCACATAGTTCACTCCTCGCGGAGCATTCTGCATCAACTGAGAAGGTAATATTAATTAAAATATTATAAGTGCACTAATGAGCACTTCGATGATCTACGAATGTGAGGCACAGATTAAATTCTTATATTTTTATAAATTTTGCTATTTCCATTTACCCTGGACTCATTTCTTCCTATTTTTTCTAACATAACCTAGGCATCATCAGTAATATTATTTAACGTTAAACTGGTAATATTTTCCGTGCCATACCCAGTGACTAACTTCCAATCACAATTAATGCTATAAATAAGCATAATTTATAGACTGCTACACCTGTCTTTTTAAGCACGTGCTAAATTAGTGCCCTTTTCAGATCCTGGACCCGGGAGCTGAGATCCAATTATCTCACAACGACGATAACAGCTGCCTTAAATATTCTATCAATGTCTTGTAAGAAGGGTATAGCTCACTATAGCAACTGGGTGCGTACATAGGGATTTTAAACTCCACATGCAAGAGGGACAGTTAGTCGCACGTGCAAAACGGAGCAAGGAGCAGTAGTTAGAAAAATTTATCCAGTAACTGGACGTTGCTTAAGTCTAATTACTTTACTGTTCCATTAGACAATTCTCCAATTTTTGTTGGAGCTCTCTCATGTTTTGGAAGGAGCTTTTTGTGAAAACCATCGCTATTTGTTTTGGTACTAACTACTAATGTCTGTTTAAATTGTAGAGTGGTGATCATTAGATAAATTTAAGAACCACCATGACCAATAGTTTAACTGTGCATCAATAGTCAATTCATCCAATTTAAGATTCTGAATCCCTCTAAATTCTGTGTTACTCTTATTTCACAAGTTGCTATATTAAATGCTACAAAGACAAAACGTGGAAAGAATAATATTTCTCTGCCCAGATGCAAGGATGGTGATATGTGCAATTCTTTTGCTGGCTCATCTCTTGATCGCTTTTAAAGGTGTAACAGCGAAGGGTAGGTCCGGTCTTCGAAAACCGAAAAAATATTTGACTTACAAAAATTTCGGTCCTAGTTTTTTCTCAACATTTTTAGAAACCTGAATAAAAAGTTGACCTTTTTGGCCCCTTGCCCAGATTTTATGGGGGGCAATGGCCCCCGCTTCCCACACCCCTGACTGTCCGCCTATGTCCTGTCCTGTCCTTTTTGGATTCAATGAGACAAGCGGACATAGACGGACCTGACACCCCCCCCCCCCCCCCTATAATACATAGTTTTCCTAATTCCTCATGTTGCATGCATTATAAAAGCTCAACTTATTTCCAAAAATAATGAACATTTTCTCAGATTGTGGGCGATTACAGCATATCGGTGGTAAATGTGTAGAGCCTCTTAATGGCAACACAGCCACTGGAACTTATCTTGTCACCAACGAAGATTGTAAGGGAGACAGTTTTGTCTTCTGTATGGATTCAAACGGATACATAAAGCATGAGGAGAGTGGTCTATGCTGTGTAAACAGTGGAGAAGTGAGTTGAATAACGTCAATGATCAATATGCTTTCAACAATCCTCCTACACATTAATTTAACGCTTACAAACCCTTGCTCACAAACAAGACATCGTGAGTCGAGTGGCGGCTAGAATTGCACATCTGTAAATATGCAATCCGTTATTCTTAGAGTTCTTTCTTACAGGCACCTAGAAACCATCTTATTCTAACGGAATGCACGACTGCTGATAAATGGCAATTTACACGTCAAAGAAGTATCAAAAAAATCAGCGCTGATTTTGAACGATGTTGGAGTCCAAGTGGAGGGAGTGCAAATCCTAGTAATAACAATAAATTAGTTGAGGCGGGTTTTTGTAACGAGAACAGACTTAAGTTTACGTGGGAAAAGCTAGGTACCTGAGTTTTAACATCTCCTAAAATACGTTTGTATTTTCTATTCAAAAATCAAAATATTAATGGTGTGGTCTACGATAATATATTATATCCAATATATTTTATCGAATGTCATTATATCAACGTCTTGTTCAGATTGTTCTAAACTTCCTGAAGACTGGACTGGAGTGTTTACAAATACAGAGTTCCCAGTAGATAATGGAGCAACTATAACTGTATTCTGCCAGGAAGGCCATGTAAACGTAGGAAGCAGTGTAGTTACTTGTAACACGGACTTTATGGAATACGAATCAAAACCTAGTTGTATTATACGATCAGGTAAATTTTGCAAATTTTGCTGTTCACTTTTGTCCGTTAATGTCCGCCTATTATATCTGCCAATGTCCTGTCCGGTCCTTTTTGATTCTATGAGACAATCGGACATAGACGGACGTGTCACCCCCCCCCCCCCCCCCCCAATAAGGCAGAGAAAAGTATTTATAAACAGTAACTAGTATACCCTTGACAGGAACATGTTCCCCCGGTCAGTACTGGAGCACAGGGACAAGCCAATGTGAGAGCTGTGCTGCAGGAGAATACAGTGAGGGAGGAGAAGCAACCCAGTGTGATCCGTGTACGGGTGGTAAAACAGTGCTAGCAGGACAAGGAACCAGCGCTCAGTCTTGTAGATGGGGTAAGTAGAGTAGAGTAGAGTAGAGTAGAGTGGAGTGGAGTGGAGTGGAGTGGAGTGGAGTGGAGTGGAGTGGAGTGGAGTGGAGTGGAGTGGAGTGGAGTGGAGTGGAGTGGAGTGGAGTGGAGTGGAGTGGAGTGGAGTGGAGTGGAGTGGAGTGCAAGTGGAGTAGAGTGAGGTGGAGTAGAGTAGAGTAGAGTAGAGTAGAGTAGAGTAGAGTAGAGTAGAGTAGAGTAGAGTAGAGTAGAGTAGAGTAGAGTAGAGTAGAGTAGAGTAGAGTAGAGTAGAGTAGAGTAGAGTAGAGTAGAGTAGAGTAGAGTGGAGTGGAGTAGAGTAGAACTATGCGGCAAGTTCTATTGGTAGGAGTAAAGAGGCGGGCCGGTGAGGAACTCAATGTTTGAGCTCTTCACTGATATATGAGATCTTTTTAATAGCCTACAAGTTAATTAAGTAAATTGAATTTATTAAGTTTATAACGAATTAGGTTAAATAACTAAATTAAAATATCAAAATGGTATTATTTCAGATGTGGAAGTAACCAATCTAGAAGTTCATGTTAGCACAGCGAGCATTCTAACTTGCACTGTAACTGGAATCCAAGATCCCGTCACAATCACTTGGTCAGGATCGACAGACTTTGGAGATGATTATACTCAAGAATTTGGGAAGATAACATCAGGAAAACAGACAACAAAACTAGTTGTCAGTGGGGATGTGGTAACTGAGGATGAAACATACACTTGTACGGTCACCGGTATAGAGCTAGCGGATCACCAGCAAGAGCTAGCTCAGCTGGAGGTGTATGGTAAGTGAAACTGAAATTATACGTTTTATTGTCCAATTCTTAAGGCGCATTAAATCCTAGACATAAAATGGAAAAATTAATTCGCTTTTTTTAATTTCAGACGTTTACCCGAGGCATGTTGAAACAAAAGCGGGTACGAATGCAACGATTGAGTGTTGGATAAGATCAAGAGGAATATTAATTTTAATGACGGTGGAATGGCTGACAAGCGGAGGCAACAGTATTGACCCAACAACGGTAGAACGTGATAACGAGCAGACGCAGTTTATGACTCTAGAGGTGGAGGGACACGATGTAGATCAGGATAAAACCTACACCTGCAGAGTAACTTCAGGAAAGTATCCCAACTCACCAAGTTCTGAAACAGATGTTCAACTGAATGTGTACGAGGTAACAACCTTCAGCGCTGAGGTTAGATCCGGTACAGACGCCATTATAACCTGTGAAATAGCGGGAATAACAAACAGAGTTTACGTTTATTGGCTGGAACCTTCAGGTAATGTAATTTATGCGGACTCTAACAGTAACTACATTCCAAACTCTGGAACTTTGGATAACAACAGGCAGACAGCTACTCTGGAGGTTAAAGGAGCTACAGAAGACACAACTTTCACTTGTAGAGTCATGTCTAGACCTATACCTAGACCTAGCTCGCCATATTCTGACACTGATGTCCAGCTCACTGTTTATGGATGTTCAAGGGACCCCAAACTCACTTTCACAGTCAAAGGGAAGCCTGTAGATAAAGTAAAGTTAGGAGAAGCTGTGACGGTGACATGTGCTCCAGGATACACACCATCTGGTCCCAACTCAGACACAACTACTACAGCTGCAACCTGTGTAAAGGTTGATAGCATGCAGTTTCATGACACATCATTTGAATGTGATGACACAAACAGCTGCAGAGTAAAAGAACAACTGCCGCCAGACCTGGACATTACACTAGCCCAAGATATGTGGGCTGATGGAGAAACTGGTGAAATAACATGGAAGTGTAAAGCAGGTTCTGTTAACATGACAGAGTGCACCGAATGGAAGTGTAAAGTTGGAAAAGTCAAGTGTTTATCGATCGACAAACTCATCACGGAGATAGAATTCTGTAAGATCTGTCCACCAAAGACGTATCATGACTCAAGTAGGAGTATTTGTGAAAAGTGTCCAGTGGGCCACAAGTCTGGTTACGGGTTTGAAAAGTGCTTCAGTAAGTGTATTAAATTTACTTTTGTTTAAGGTATATTTGGTATAGTATATAAAAAGTTGACGAAAGTTATCCACTGGTCTTAGCAGAAAACTCGTGTCTTTTCTATTTAAGTTTTCAGATGATCAGATTATAACGTCATGACAGTTGACAGCTATACAGCTATAAACTTATAACTTGTTATAAATCGAATCAAAATAAATTACTAATTTGTTCATCTGGTATCTTATAAGATGGCTATTTCACCCTCAAATTATGGTAATGTTTGTATCTAGGTGACTACAGAACAGGTGCCAATAATTTAAGGGTGAAGCCTAAATAGATAATTATTTAAACTAACAACCTTATCTGAGAATGGGATGATTTCCAGTAGTATTGTCATTAACCAGCTGTTACAAGCAGTGAAGACAAAACAATCTTCTGCTGCTTGTGACAGTAGTGTCAGGTACTGTAAGCAGATTTGTGGAGAGAAAACTGTAACAGTGAAAACATGAAGTACTAATCATGGGAAGAATTGGGAAGATGAAAATGTATCAAAGAAAAACTGAGAGGCTGTTTGGGAAACTGATAAACTTCTATCAAGATAAGGCCTTCATTCAATGATAAACAAGGAAAGGACTGAAGATAATTTTACCCCTTGTTTTATACTTTTATTTAAGACATTTAAAGCTGCAACTTAGTCTGAGATCTGAGATTTCTGAGTTCTGAGATTTCTGAGTTCTGAGATTTCTGAGTTCTGAGATTTCCGAGTACTGAGATTTTTCAAGTTCATTCAGCCATGAAATTGTTCATAGATATATGTAATTTTGTTGCGTGTAAGCATTCATCTGCATTCATGGTTATGATTATAATTTAAATTATTACTAGCTGGCTAGAATGTAACACAGTTATGATATATGTTAACTGTCAAAACACATTTAATGGATTCGGGAGCTTTCGTTTTATCAGACTTTTAGACAGTCGTAAAAAAATGAACTAAAAAATATAAACTGAGCTACATATTTATCAAACAGATGAAACGATTTCAAGATTTGATAGCATTTTGGCCTGACTTAGATCGAGCGCCGAGGCAGTCCTTCTGATAATCACGTGACCGGTCCAGATATCTAGTAATTATCATTTAACGAACTAATTAATAGCTCTTATTTATTCCTGTCCCATGGGACTAGGATCATATCACCAGAATGTAAAACTCTTTAAATATCCCTAAATCTCTCTAAAGTTAAGCCCTTTTAATTAATATACCTTAACAAAGTCAGCTCCACAGTTTTCGTTGAGTCTCCCAGTAGAACCATCATTACAGATAGTGATGTCGATATGATCGGATAGTAAAGGTGCTATGGTCCGCAGGGCAATAGCTCCCACCCCGTTAGCGCAGTCTACCTGAAACAACGGGCTAATTAAATAATCTATATTATATTATTTATAATACGTGTTGAAACCGTTAATATTAAAATTTATTATTATGAGAACGTGATCAATTCGAAAGACGGAACATTTTTGAAATTTATGACCGATTCTGTACATTTTGCAGTAATTACATCCTTTTCACTGCAAACCAAGCACGGTAGTCAACAGAGTGATTTTGATGATTTTTATTGAAAATAATATTTCAATTTACAAAATGGTGTTAATTAAAATACTCATCGGGTGGTAATTATTTTGAATCACAAACTTCAAAATTCTGCAAAAATGGATGCAAACAAAGATACGATAAGTCTGATTTTCCGATGTATGTAATCCGAAAACACGAATTCACCATAGAATAAAAATATAACATCAATGAGTACAAAATCTAAAAATCATATTTAAATCAAAAATAAACCAGCTCTATGCTCTATGCATCTAATGGATAACGTATTATAAATAAACTATTAATTTCAGCAATGTTCTCTCTTAAAAAGGTCATCTGGGGCCCTGACAATCCTATCTCTTATCTCGCCAGCCAATTGTTCAGTGCTGGCCACTACCACTCTTCTCCGAGTCAGATCAAACTCTTCTCCAGGTACAGTGGATATCACTACTCCTCCTGCTTCACTTGCTATGACCACTGCTGCTGCCATGTCCCAGATGTGGAGCCCTTCTAACCAGAATCCGTCAACATTTCCTGAAACGAGAATTAAATTAGGGATACAAAATAATGTACAACAGAATGACTTAATTTTGGGGGCTGATTTTGATATCATAGTCATATTCCCTCAGCTCTGGATATGATTTTGGTTAATGCCACAAAATTTAAAACCCAATAGAAATTAAACTAGAAGTAAAAGCAAGAGTAAACTAACCAGCAGCAAGTTGGCAGATCATGATAGCGCTGCTTCCTCCCAACCTGAGACCATGACAACACCCTTCTCTCTCCCCACTCACCCTCTGAATACTCTCCATACTCTCCCTCAGCCCCATACCTTTACTGGGTATCACGTACGTGGACACCAGCGCTCTATTCAGGGCTGTTGTTTCAGACACTCTGATAGGACGGCCGTTCAGAGCCGCTCCAAAACCCCTCCTACCCGTGTAGAGATCCCTGAGTATGGGGCAGTAGATAACACCGAACTTGGAGGTCTTGTCCACGGTGAACCCTATACAGATGCAACACTCGGGGTTACTGTGGACAAAGTTGGTTGTTCCGTCTATTGGATCTACGATCCAAGTTCTGCGATTGTCGAATATTGCTCCCTCCGAAGATTCCTCTCCGATTGTGTTATCAGAGGGATATTTTGTTCTTATCGCACTGAATATTGCTGCCTCGACTGCTTGGTCTGTTTTGGTGACAAGATCCGATCCGAATGATTTAGTCTGGATATCCTTGTTGGAGTGGAACGCGGGAGTGAACGTCTGGGATACTTCTTGGACTAGTTTAAGTGCAAACTCGTATTCCTCTTGGTACGCGAAATGCGCTGCCATAATTGTCTTAACCTAGCTGTTAAGAATATCACCCGTTAGATTTGATTTAATAGAGAAATTAAACGACTTTAATTTACTATTTCCCATTATCAAACAAACCGAACCTTTATTGAGTGTTTCACATCATCCTTTCCGTACAAATGTATAAAGCTGTCAGCAAAAGTCCGGTAGTAGTCCTGGAGAGTGTTAGGTTTGGAGATGTTGGTTTGCTTGACAATCCAATGTAGCTGGGGTGTGGTGCACACTCCGATGTTGTGTACCTGTAATCAGACACGTGTCAGTAACCACGTGTCAGTAACCACGTGTCAGTAACCACGTGGTACATTCTTCTCGCCCAATAAGAGGAGTGGTAGTCTGATAATTAAGATTAAAAACTCGGACCTGAACCTAAATAAAATTTCAATCACGTACTTCAACCGTTTTTAATTACAAATTTAGATTCTTAAACGTTATTCAAAATCTCTTATTCCACGGAGGAAATGGTCATAAAATCTTACCTTACATTGTAAATTTTCAGCGCCAGCAGTAACAGCAGCCACAATGTCAGGTCCACTTTCCCGAGTGTCCCGTCCTACTACCAGTTTCCCACGTGAGCTCGTCAGGGTCACTTCCGCCTCATCAGAAAAGTCCTGCAGCACCTGGTGTACGTTTTGGTAAAATTGTTATTTTATAATCAATGTTCATATTATGTTCAAGGATTTACACTTTACTGTAGTTATATGTGGTGAGTACAATGTACACATAACGTAAAATTGTGTATATTATAACTTTGTTGAATGTTGATACGTGCCCAATACGAAAATTTGATCGGCTGCAGAATTTTGCAAACATTATTTTGTTAATTTGATCAACAAAAAGAACTTGAAGTTCTTCTCCAATGACTGAAATTCAATCCATGTAATAATGAGTAACGTGCCACATCCTAGCAGACGTAGTGTATTGAATAAGTAGAACGAAGTCAATTATCACCACACTTACGTTACAGAAGCACACCCACACCCACACCCACACCCACACCCACACCCACACCCACACCCACACCCACACCCACACCCACACCCACACCCACACCCACACCCACACCCACACCCACACCCACACCCACACCCACACCCACACCCACACCCACACCCACACCCACACCCACACCCACACCCACACCCACACCCACACCCACACCCACACCCATGCTAACCTCAACAAGAGAAGCAGAGTCAGTGTTTGACAGCTGAGTAGAGTAATGCTCCCACCTAGGCAGCAGCATTTCACCCTGGGGTTCCACCACTTTCAGACCATTATCTTCTGGTGGGTTGTGGGAGGCTGTCACCATCACTCCGATAGTTGCCTTCACTGATTTAGCTCTGATAATTAAATCTGGATAACTGCAAAGTAATTACTCCAACTGAATATCTTTGAATTCCTCGCAGATCTATTCGAAAAATTTGGGTGAATGCCTTGCACAAATGTTTTTTTCCCAATGCTCTTGATCAAATTTCTAGTACAAATAATTCAGAGCACATTGTATTATAATAACCTGAGGGCAGCGAGTAATCCCATTCTATAAGCAGCAGGAGGTAATATATCCGCTTTACACCGGAATCCAGCTGTTCCGTACGCGTACTTCACATCTGGGGGGATGTTGTAGTTGGAAGCAGTGGCCCGGACAGTCTCCAGTGTAACCTCCAGAGGAGACACTCCGTCTCCAGACATTATCTGATCAGGTGAAGTGTTTAAACTTTGAAATTTGAGGTGTGGGTTTAAGTCGTGATATGACTTTTAAATTTCACGCCAAATGCCTTTGGATTTATGGAAGTGTGCAAGAGTTCACTATATTGACTGTTTTTGGGAGTATTACAATAATATGATAGGTTATCATTTGGAAAACTGAGGCGTATCTTTAATTTTTAACCTTATAAGTTATAAGGCTTAACTGGTCACATGTGATATACTCACTATTACCACTTAAATCAATTAAACACAGTGTCTGCGGAAATATAATATAATGATTAATGAACTATGAACGAAATCAACTATGAAACACAGCATACACGTGCAAAGTTTTTAAAGATTAAACCGGTTTAGCTAAAATAAAATCATACTGTCTAATAAACTGGCCGAAATTAATTTGAAATATCTTGAACTATTAACGAAACTTTTAACATACTGTATTAAGACTTATTATTATAGAGTTTGTAAACCAATCATGATTCTATTTTATGATTTCAATTATTGCAGCCATTATAATTTATATTTTTTCAGTCTAATTATCAATCAAATTGTAACGATGACCTCGCTGTAACTTAATATAACGATTTTTCATATTCTCAATTCAATAGCAAAGTTACTTGTTTGATTAAATTAACAACGAATTGAATGCAGCTTTAATAATTATTGGTGACCATGGTCTTAAAATCTCCAGATGAAAATTATATATTTTGAAAATCAATTATTTCTTGAATTTACTTAAACAATGGCAAAAAATCAACAAACGATCATATTTATATGCCCATAAAAGAAACCATTTTCTGAGTAATCATGCACTACTCAACTGAAATTTCCGAGCACGAAGAGAGAAAAAAGTGAGGCCAAACTTTCACGACAGTAATGAACAAATATAGTTTCACGCAAATTTGTTTTCTCATTTAGATATAAATAATCTTTGGGAGGGTAGAATACCGGCCAATCTAATCAATCCGAGTAGATAAACCATGCATGACAAATGATATTTGTTAAGTGCAAGTGTAAGGTGTGAAGACTGCTTGTGAAGTTTATTAATTAACAAAATGAACTTTTGTTTCAAATTTATATCATACATACTATTACAACAGGTTCTAAGAATCTGATATTTATTCAATCGGAGATTTAAACATTAAATTACAAATATTATTGATTATAGGTTCGTCAGCTCCTTAAGTTAAACATGTAACATAACACTACAGCATATTGTGATGATTCTCAGCCATTAAATCATCTAGCTACCTTGATATTCTACACGAATTACGCATTCTAACTAGTTGCAACATACTGATCTGGGAAAATGAGTTATCGTTTAAGTAAAATGTTCATCAGTTTCATCGCTGCCACACAAAATCATTGCAAAGACTTATATTAACCCTAAGGCTTGTTCCGAAAAAATCAATCATCGGTAAAACGACTATTATATAACACTACAATTCAAGTGAGCTCCTTCTCAAAGCTTGCTGTGTAACCCATTTGTACCGGTGTGTCCGTTGTGGTAACCATTTTTGTGTGTCACTTCAAGATGTAAAGGCAAACTGAAAAATTTGTCCTTGACTAAATCTTCAAGGTTTTCACCAGTACAGCTCACCAAGGGTGAGATCTCACATAGTCCTTCATTTTTGAAAGTTCCCCCAGCTCTGATGATCCATCTCTTGTGTTGATTGGAAAGGTCCTCCAAGCATGTCTGAGGTGAGCATTTTGGGGCTCCAGGAGGATTCTTGAGAGGAGAAAATTCTTCGTTTCTGGCTACCTCGAGAACGGTGAACTTCTCTGAGAACTGGAATACATCAAACACAAACTTCTCCATCTTGATACCATTGATCTCGGTTGGCAGAACTCTTTCTCCTGAACTGTTGATAGTTGGAATTTTCTTTCTAGCAACATGATGAATGAGTTGGGATTCTTTTCCCTCAATCACTTTTGTTAGAAAACTAGTTGTGAAATAATGATTGCATATGTTTCCTTGAGAGAATAATAATTTTCCTTCACTGTCAACCATATTAGCGGTCTCCTTTGAAATTTCGCTATATTCTACAACTTTCCAGGTCCCATTACATTCACAAATAACACCAACAGCTTCAGTGGGGTATGCTTTGCTCACTACTTTTGCACCACAATCCGATTGTCGATCAAGGCAGCATCCAATGAAAAGTGGATCAGGGACTTTGTTTAAAATGTTATCAACACAATAACAATGTACGCTCCTGACACCCTTTTTGAGCATGTCCTGCAGCACTCCTTCATTTCCCATGGACCTATACAGATCACCATTACCACCTGGTGCTCTAGCGATTGAAAATTTGCTGTCCATTATCACTTTTCCATCAAGAGATAAACAAGGTATCATTTCTTGTTCAAAGAAGATGATATTTTCTTCAGACAAACCAAACCATCCATTAGATTTGAAGTAGTCAACAGTGGCTTTCTTTGTATGTTCACTGGTCATTATGTACCATCTAATAGCTTTGGAGGATCCGTACATTTCAGCTGCCAATTGTTCTTGCTTACGTACACGCTCAGCCTGTAATTGATATAAACACTTGCTACTTTGCAATCCAACATTGTACATTCCCTTAGGATAAGGGACACCGAGACGTGTACCCTGACCACCAGCCATTAGAAGCAGAGCAACTTTCCCTTCACTTATCTCTTTCAGCCCTCGGTTAGTCCACTTTTCATTGATCTTATTTGAAATGAATACACTTTCACATGCATCAGGGGGTAGTGGCTTGAGATAATCCTCTTTTCCAGGTGCAGAGAGTTCCTTTTGCATACATCTTTTAAAGCTCTTCAGATGATCGGTAAAATCGATCGACTGTATATCTCGATAAAGATCATCTTTTTGATCTGATGATAGGTCTTCCCAGTGAGCTAAAAGATGTTCCTGGCCATGTGCAGCCAAGGATGACTTCAAGATTGCAATGTCTTCATCAGTAAAAGTCATCCTTGGAAGGAACTCTGAAGAATAATAATTTAAGAATATAGATTTTACTTGATCTTGCTACCAACAAATGAAAAGCTGGCACCTTTAGTAGGAATATTGAAATAAGCAAATCAAATATATCATTTCATTTCATTTCAACTTGTATTTTAATAGGTATCGTGCATTATCTATGACTAGCACTTCCCTGCGCAGACTGCAATTCTTATTTCTGATAATGGTGTACTGCCAGAATATAGAATAAATCAAATCAAATAATAACCCTTGACAAAATCAGGTAAGAGAGGAACTTCATGGATAAGGTTTTCCTAAAATTACTTAGAGGGCAAGTTCTTAGAGGGCAGTGGCATAACGTAGCCTATTGGCGCCCCCGCCGAAAATGCACCCCCCCCCCCCCCCCCCCCCCCCGGCCCCCCTGTTGGCGCCCCCTCCCCTTTTGGCGCCCCTCCCTAAAATTGAACAAATTAGGTAATTTTAGAGGATACGCTGGTAAAATCTCTAAAAATGTGTGTTCCCAGAGCAAAACACACAGTATTGCTAGTACCTCAGTTAAGTTTTTCAAAATTGTCCCACATTCAAACAACGATTTTGCCCCTTAAGATGGCGCCCCCCCCCCCCCTCCACACACAGCGGGGTCAGCGGGGCCCTTCATTACGCCACTGGAGGAGGCTAGCACACTAAAACGAATATTTTTTCTAAAGCAGAATTTAAAAAGAAGTTTGCAACTTCAGAAGGAGAAACTTGGACCTGTCTAGATATTAATAAATCATCCTGATCTGATAGAGTAAAACTAAACTGGCTACGTCTGCAGCATGATCTGCACAACATAGGCAGGCTGTCAATTTGCAGCTTAAATGATAAATTTGACAGAATTGATGGAGCAACCATGCCCTATGTCATAAATGAACAGGAATTAATTGTCATTGAAAGGAATTAAGGATGCATTATATCAAGAGCTACTTGAATACTATTGTTTTAAATCTTGATTGATTTTTATAGCCAACTTTGCACTTATGGCTTAAACTAAATTGGTAGTGCCAGAGATCCACCGTGATCCTGGTACCAGGGCCCTGCCGTAGCCGGGATTGGACTTTTTACCAGCGTGACGGGAAAAAAGTCTAGATCTCTTCTCAAAAGTAATTATAGCATATTTTTATCTTAAACAAATTGCCATCTTAAACATGGATCACTTCCGCACTAATAGTTGATTCCGCTAAATTTTGTAACCAAATAGAGCTAAAATCCCGGTCCCAATCAAATTTGACTGATCCCGGCCGATTTCAAATTGGACAAAAATCCAGGTCCCGGTCAAAATTGACCAATTCTGCTCATGGTCCAGGCCATTTCAAAATTTATTATCCCGGTCGTTTGCTGGGTAGTGCTTGTTGCCATACTGGACACTGCAGCTGATTAAAACTGGAACCAGGACAGTCAAGGTTGCTATCAAGGAATACAAATATTATTTGTTTAATTGCATCCTTACTTAAATCACCCTTTTAGCCTTTTAAAGGACAAACAGTATTTACAAACTCAGCATAATATTTGTTGCACTTGTGATTATAGAAGGGACTGTTTACAATATAATAAATATTTCAAACAAATATTACACCCATTAAAGTGGAATTTAAGAAACATTAAATTTAATGCAATAACAATATAAAAATATGGAGGAAAAAAAACTAAATAACAACAAGACATTATTCATTTATTATTAAACCCAAATTTTTACATACACGGAAAAAAATTTGCAAACTTGATCTGGCAGTTATTTTTATTTCATGAAATGTGAATTGAACTCAGCTTGCTATTTTGTATCACGTTGGGACCCCACGGTCGTTTCCTGACGATACAGGGGGAGCCGCGCACTTCGTGCGCGGCGGGTCATACAACGTATGACAAGCTATTTTATGATTTACTTAATTTTATTTGTAAAATTTACTTAATCTTAGATTACACCTTCAAAATTTTTATGCTATGAAGAATTGAAAATTATCAATTGCAATTATAGCCTGGTAACTGGTACTAAAGTGTCAAGTGTATTATAACTTATTATAAACTTAGAGGACGTCGTCACTTCGCGCGCCGCGCGTATATATTGTCATGCTTGCTAGTCGCTGACGAGATTGTTGCTATGCACAATTTTTCTTTTGATTGGCATTCGTAATTAATTTGTATTTAATTTACTCACGCGAACGCGGGCACCGAATTGCTAAAAAATTAAAAACTTTAAAGGAAAGAAAAATTTTTTAGGAAAGAAAAATTTTTATTTACCACAAAACAATCAATACATAATGTTATATTCATAAATAAATTCAAATTTCAATTTCAAACACATATACAGTACGCCGCGCACACAGCCACAATTTAAAATTGTTCAGAAATTCGTAGGTCAGCTGTAGGCGCCGCGCACATGATATATTTAATTGTTATCTTACAATACATGTCAATACATATTTTACAATTACATGTCACATTTCTTAATTTCTAGAGCCAAAATTTCAGAAGCAAAATAATTTAAAAGATATTTCTGTCGTTCACGCAGTACAGGCCGTGAACACTGCGACCTAATTAATATAATAATGGAGAGATTCCAAAAAACCGCGCGCTCGTTATTTGTGATTAAATTGAGTGCGCGCCACTGTCAACCGCAGTACCGCTCAAGCATGAAGTACTAAGCGGTACGCAGTTTTGCGTGAGGCGTAGACATTCGTGGCACACGTTTCATTCAACTAATCCATTATGTGACATGTAATTATATTAAAGCAAAAAGAATGTTAATTTGAGTAATAATTGACGTAAACATATGTGTTTAAATAACATCTATAATCTAGCGAGTTACTAATACCATTTGTTTGTATTATTGATTATATATGTTTACACTAGCCTATATTATGATGGAGATATACATTGCATTATATAATTGCTCCAATATTCAACACTGCTAAACAACAAATACCTACTCGCCCATCGATGAAGCAGTCGCCAAAACAAAGCTCAAAGTTAATATATCCTCGTACTTCGTTTTGGAAACTGTAGAATTCCAATAAATAATTAGTGTTTCAATTGTGTATTCGATGGGCAAGCACTCGCCACTCGAGGCCGAGACAAACGGCACCAGCTCCGCCCTGCAACCATGAAGTAATGTAAGCAGTAAGGCGGGGCGGTGGTGTGCGCCGTTTATACGGCCCACAGCACGAGACATTTTGAGCTCCAAGACTAAAGACTATAAAAGTCCCGAATTAAACATAGCGACTTACCATCGTCAGCCGTCAAAAATTTAGAATTTGTATGTTATAAACTCTACACCTGCTATCAGTATAACATGTAACTCACTCATCACTGACAACTGACGGTATTAATATTTAAAATAACAATTGCATAAATATTATTCGTTGAGAGCTGAGTATCGAGTATGAGTTGTATCACGTCGTGACCAGGAAAACAACAATTTCAGGAAAACAACAATTTTATTTAGTATCAGTTATAGCAAACAAAAAATATATTTTATATAATATAATATAACTAGGACGAACTTTAGATTAGAAATCTTGGGGGACTTGGAGTAGCAAGAGATTGACTAAAAGGTATATACCTTTTACCAAAAACGTCGAAAAGAATCCATGGTGATACAGGATTAGAGAGTACAGACCATAAAGTTTACGCACCCACCTTTGCCTCCAGAATTCTTGGTTGGTTAAAAATGTATGCTAACTTGGTCGTTTATACTCCAAGTCCCTTTGTTAAAAGAAGTAATATTATGTACCAGTGGCGTAACGTTACTTTGTGCCGCCCCCCTGCTGATTGAAATTTGCCGCCCCTTTTCCGCCCCTAAAATTTTGTGTCCCTAAAAAAAAAAATAAAAAAAAAAAAAAAAAGGTCGGGTACTTTTTTTGCCGCCCCCTACACCTTTTTGCCGCCCCCTGAAGCAACAATGGTACCCCAAATATTTTTTTTCACGTCGACTAAACGCTAAATTCGACAGGGTAGTACACCAATAAGGCGCTTTTTCTGTGAAATCAGACCTACAATCCAGGAAAATGCCGCCCCCCTAAGGCCAAGGTGCCGCCCCCCTGCTAGCAGGGTTAGCAGGGGCGGTTGTTACGCCACTGTTATGTACGTCTGGAGTTAGCTTCATTCCCCACGGTCGTTTCACTAATACGATACAATGACAAAGTAGGAGGCTACAGTTTTTAGAATAATTACATAGGGGACTCCAGGCTATTATGTTCATAAACATTACCTGGGGACTCCAGGCTATTATGTTCATAAACATTACCTGTGGTCTCCAGGCTATTTAATTATGTTCATAAACATTAAACATATAATGGAGATTTGGCGGAATGACAGGCTGATCGCCGCCCAGTAAAGCCATGCTGTGCATTGGTTGGTGGATAAGAACAGTAATAAAAGCTAATCATATTTTACCAGTAGGACATTCAGCTAAAAAGATTCTTTCTAAAAATGTTCCAAGATTTCTACTTTTCTAATGATTTTCCGTTTATCAAAAATTTTTTGGGAATAGAAATTTGAATACCTCAATCGTGTCTTATGCCTCCTCAGTGACCTTGGTCAGTGAAGATGGTTATTTAAGAAAAATTCAGTCAAAACAGTGAAATTTGGGTCACGGAAAGCTGAAATTTGAATATTTTTTACTGGTAGGAGAAAAAGGTTGTAATGATAGCTATTTATAAAGCTTTGATAAGACCTCATCTTGAGTATTGTGTCCAATTGTGGAATCCAGTTGCAGCTCATGGAAGTTGGGGGACTGTTTTGGAGCTGGAGAGCGTCCAGAGGCAGTTTACCCGTCTTATTGATGAGGTGGGTACTCTTCCATACAGCTGTAGACTGGATATTCTCAATTTGACAACGCTGGCAGTGCGGCGAATACGTGGGGACCTTATCGAAGCTTTTAAAGTAACTAGTGGTTTGACTGAATATGTATTGGGTTTGTTCAGAATGAGCAGATCTGGTCTTAATCTAGTTTCAACCAATAGGTGTAATAAGAGTGTAACTAAAGTTGTAACTAAAGTTAAGAATCTCCAGTCTTCTTTTCTTCCGGAGCGAGTCATTCCTTACTGGAACAAACTCCCTTCAGATGTCAAGAACTGCTCAACAGTTTTAAGCTTTAAAGTTAGATTGGAAGGATTTAAGAAAGAAATGATTCTGTAACTGATTTTTATTTTTGGAATGTTTCGAATGAAGTTTTAGGGAAAATTGAAGGACCCAGTTATTTAAGCAATAAGGAGACACATAATGAATATCTTTGGTTTCATCCTTTTGTGGCAAAGAAGCGTTTTATAAATCTTTATTCCACTGGGAAGTATTAATGAATTATTTATAGATAGTGTATTAGATTTTATTAATTAATAAAATTGAATTTGATCAATTATTAATGTTGATGGAAAAATATATTTATTTTAATTATTTTTTATTTAGTGCAATGATATTTTGTAGACACTTGTGATGATGTTATGTCATAATCTTTACTTACTTACTTACTTACTTAGGACATGTTCAAAATTTTCATTGCATCAAAGTTTTCCCCGGATATACTGCTTCCAGTACCTTGATGGGGACTTCTGTAACTCTCACTGTCATCACTGATTGGTCACCGGTCAAAATTTCAGTCAAAACGGTGAAATTTTGGTCAAGGGGTCGGCAGAAAAGCTCCTCTTCAAAAATATTCCAAAGTCTCTTTTTACATTATGATGATTTTCCGTTTATCAAAGCTTTCTTTGGGAATAGAACTTTCAGTACCTGGGATTCCCAGCTCAATACTCAAATCCTTAATGCATATATAACTGTACACCACGATTTATTTAAAAAGTGTACAGTGAATCGAAATTTTACTGTAATATCGAGTATGAATAAAGAATATTTTAGGGAGTAGCAGCTAGCTATTCAATCATTGATATTATGGCAGTCGTTATCAATGGCAAAGAGATCTCCAAGTTGGTTTTATAAATTTCCATTGTGATTTGTATTTAACTTCTTATAATTGTAAAAGAGGCATCACAATGAATAATTTTAATGTCTGCTGCTCGTTAGAGCCATTGTGAACTTTGAATCTCAGAACCAAGCAAGGTGAACGAAAGGAATAAAAGTGCAATTTTACAACTTTAACACCATTCAGAAAAGTACGAGAGGATCTGAAGGAGCATGTTACCGCACTGGCAGAGTGGGACGTTTTTAAACCTGGGCTAGCAATCGTTCAGGTGATCTTTCTCAGTTCATATACCTTTCCAAACTTCGGCAGCTTTCATTGACATCGAATTATTTACTGATTGGGTGATTGTTGTCTGGACACAACTATTGAATAATTACTTTTGGGTAAAGTCATGTTAGGACAAAATCAAGATGGGCAACTCATGTCCAAATTAGGAATGCATTTATTTTCACAGGTGTTATCTCATTATATTTGGTATGCTTAAAATAACTTTACAAGGTTGGAGACCGACCAGACTCCAACACCTACATCAGAATGAAGATAAAAGCAGCCAGCGAGATTGGAATACGTGCTCAACACATCAAACTTGGAAACCAGTCCACCCAACAGGAGGTTTCTGATTTCAATTATTCAAAATTTAAGATCAATTGTGTTTTGCTGGCTAAATATTTATTTGTACTTCAGGGCCTATTACACCACTATTTAACACAGTGTTACCTCTGTAAGGTGATATCCGCATTGGAATGTTTGAACAATGATCCCGAGATACACGGTATCATACTCCAACTACCACTTGACACATGCTGTACTGTTGATGAGGATGTGTGCACCAATACCATCCTCACTTCTAAAGATGTTGATGGGTACAATTTTTTTACAGATTTAAGCTATTTTATCCCTTTATTATTAAGAAAGGCACGATTTTTCTCCCCTAAAAGCTGGTAATTAGGATATTTAATGAAACTATTAAACTATTAAAACATCGTTATCGGTTATATCGGCTGGAATATAATCAGTCGCATCACATGACTGAGTCGAATGACTGAGTCACATGACTGATTCACGAAGTAACAACTCTTTATCTATACATAACATTTATAGATTGACTGAGGTGAACAATGCTAGATTAACACGTGGTGTTCTGGCAAGTTGCCATATACCCTGCACTGCTAAAGGGTGTCTACATCTCATCAAATCAACTGGTCAGTCCCAGTTATTGGAAATATTTGTCTGTATAATATTGATTATTTAGTCATAATTCATGGTTTAGATTCTAGTTATGAAGGTTGTAGTTTGTATTTGTTTGAACAACTCTATTTCAGGAGTTAAACTCGAGGGTAGCAAAGCTGTTGTTATTGGACGTAGTAAGATTGTGGTAAGTTAAGCAACTTTGACTGTTACAATATTAAGTGATATTATCTTACAGATTAATATCTCATAAAATAAGATATAGAATATATGATATCATGATATTCTGAATTAAATTTTTCCATTCCAGTTTTAATACTTTCAACACTACTATATAACAAATAATTTGAGGTCCCAATGTCAAAGCGATAGAAGAGACTATGACGTGACCGTTTGTATCCTAAGCAACGCATCTACTTCCTGGGCTACAGTATTGACTTCGCCATTTTCTCCTCCCTCACTGCCATTTTCTCCTCCCTCCTTCCATCACTATGGATCTGAATTCTGTTACCAATGTTTTAAACTCGTTTTCATTAAATGAGCTGAAAGCTCTTAAGGCCAGTGTTGAGAATGTCATGAAACTTAAGAGGGATTCTGTTAAATGCGAGGACTTCTTGGAGTTGCATTCAGATTTTAGTAAGAGGTATTTACCCTCTGTTGCACACATTTTGCTATTGCACACATTTTCCGACACTTGTAAAAATTTCACGGATTTTCGACACTTGTAAAAATTTCACAGATTTTCGACACTTGTAAAAATGTCGAGGATTTTCGACACTTGTAAAAATTTCACGGATTTTCGATACTTATAAAAATTTCGAGCAATTTCAGCCTTTAGTTGAAATTATCATATTAATACGTTTTTAGAGTTGTTAGAGTGGAAACAGGTGTATAGCTATGGCTAGCTAGCTATTCCAAAATTTTTAAATTTAACGACTGTTATCAGTTGCATAGCATCATGCCGTTTTTGTAGCAAGTAAGAAAAACATGAAGTGAGTTTGACACCATGTGACAGCAAACTTGAGCTAGACCTGTTTTTGTTTCATGGTAACAATCCGATTATATCAAGCTGGAGAATAGTAAAAACACGAAGTGAGCTTGACATGTTTACCACGTGACAGCAAACTTGAGCTAGACCTGTTTTTTGTTTCATGGTAACGATCCGATTATATCAAGCTGGAGAACGGTAAAAACACGAAGTGAGTTTGACATATCCACCATGTTACAGCAAACTTGAGCTGGACCTGTTTTTGTTTCGTGGTAACGGTTCGACTATATCAAGCTGGAGAACGGTAAAAACACGAAGTGAGCTTGACATGTTTACCACGTGACAGCAAACTTGCAGCTTGCCTACATCGCTCAAGGGACAAGCAACATGCAATGACGTTTGTTTTCATGGTAACGGTCTGACTATATCAAGCCGGAGAACGCTGCGGGAAATCAGATTGAATCAGTTCGTTTCGCAGAAGTTTGTAATCAATCAGTTCTTGATTGATAAATCTACTCAACTCGTTCCTCCACAGGTTCTATTTTATCTTAAAAAGATGCACAGTTCGTTCTTTAGTCTTGTGATACATAGTTCGCTCTTCAGTTTGCTAATTTGATTCTAATTCAAGTTGCATGCTAACTTATCATAAATAGCAGGGGCTCGTATTATACAATAATATTTAAACGTTTTTAACCCAACTTGAGAGTCTAAATTTTGAATTCTAAAATTCATATTTCTTATCTAATTTTTTAAATTTTATGTTTAGTAAGCACTATGGAACCAGGACAACTGAACACCGAGACAAATGTTGAACAACATTCTTAAAACTCACTGACACATACCAACACCTTGAGCTAGTATTAATTGTTTTAAGCTTTTTATACGTAAAAAATTCGAGCATTTTTGACACTAGCATTTTCCGATACTTTCAAGAATCTATAATAGAGAAAACAGTCAGCCCTAACTAATATTGAGTTATTTTCATGTTTCTTATATTGATTTAATGTTTCCTTAGATGACCTGGTTATTAATGTTTTAAACTATCTGCTTTTTATTAATTTTTTCACATTAAAATCTTACTCAGCAATGATTGTAGAAGGTGTACTAACCTTCATTGGGAGTTCGTGTAAGGGGAGGGTTAAAATCGTTGTAAAAACGAAAGATAACAAGGAGACTGACTATCTTATATGGTCATCGATTGTCCCCGATGAGCTAAAGGTTTGTAGTTTGCCATACAAAAGGATCAAATTTTAACGGTTTTTTAAAAATATTTCAGTTCAAAACAGTTATAGTGTAAAGTAGGAGATTGAAAATCTGACATCTGCTCGTAAAATTACTATTAGTGACAAATTCATCATATGAAATTTTTGTGACACAAATTTTCAATTTGCAATTTATTTTTGTGTAATAGAAAATAATATCAAACAGATAAATAGTAAGATAAATATGAAGACTCTTGAAAAGATTGTAAACGGCAAGTCTTACACAAATGTTGTTGGGTTAAGCATCATCACACCAGCAGTACAACAGTCAACCCCAGCAAAACACCGAAAAAGAGTGAGTCTATTTTTAAAGAAATCAATATATTTCTACAGTTTATACTTTTGAACATATAATTTGTGTGTACATCTAACCGTAACCGAACCCTCGATTTCTCATATTTAAGGTAATATTGATTAATCACCAGGGTTCAGGGGCCACGCAGGTAAAATCACGATCTAAGATGTAGATGTATTTCTAACCTTAAATCTACATGTTTTGACAAGCATGCACCACCGTGTAAATTCAAAAATCTTCACATGTCATTGCTGTATTACACAGTGATTTTAATTTGTTAAGTTACATCGTATGTCAATTTGAAAATTTTCCAGATAGCTAAACGACCTACCGCCACTACCAGAAACCCAGGTAAAAACAAAACCCCTCCATTTTAGATTTGGAAGACCTTCTTAGAAATGATACATATTTAGTTTTTATTAAAATTTCAAACCATTGTAATCGAATGCTATACAAATAGAAACTAGATCAGTGTATAAAATTATACCTACGAGCTAGCTCACTCTATAGTTTAATGTTTAAGAATAATTAGAAATGATTTAAATTTTGGAATTGGTTCATCTAATATGAAAAATTTTCATTTCAGATGCAGACGAGGACACAGTCACACCAACCACCAGCGCAGCTGTCAGTCCCAAAAAAGTGAGATTATTTTCCTAGTATCTAAGATATGTATTTCTAACTTTAAATCTACAAGTTTTGATAAGCATACATCACCATGTAAATTCAAATGAATATTCCATTGATCTGTTAGTCACTGAGGATCAAAGCCCTATTCATTCCTGTGATTATCAAAGATCCTGGTCAATAAGTCTTATCAAACACAACTCAATCGTTTGGAATGAATATTCCATTGAGGATAAAACAACGATATTATTGTTAATAACACATTCAATTTGTAGATGAAATCTAAGGGGAAGCAGCTCCCCCCACCTGCAGACTTCATAGATTGGGCAGCTCTGTTGGATGTAAGTAATTTAAAATCCTAACAGCTCTGTTTAGTAATATTAGCTGGTTAATGAGATAGAGTTATTTAAAAAAATTAAATATATTATATATATATATATATATATATATATAATATATATATTTGAGACATTCAGTGAAACAGTAAAACACGAAATTCACATAAATTATATATATATAATTTTGACCGAAATAAAACTCTACAAGATTCTCAGGATGATGTTTTCTACATAACTGTGATGGCCGCTTTTGTGAAACTTCAAAAACTTGTTGATGAACTCAATAACAGTTATAAAGGGAAAGGTAATTTGTCATCTTCTTTTATGAAACTGATTACGTACGTTACGTGATTATTAATGTTTTTGTATTGCAGCTTCTTTTGATCGAAGTGTTTGAGAGTCATAAGAAACCTAGATCTCAGAAATTAATCCAAACAGTAATGTCAAACCCCTGACATTAATAAGTTAATTAAAATTAGTTATGATTAGATAATAAGTTAATTAAAATGAGTTATAATTAAAATCAAATCTTACAAAAATTTCGTTCACTATAGATATCTACACAGGTATCTACACAAGTATCTACATTCTACAGGGTTCACTATAGGTATTTACATATTATTCTGATTTCTTCAGATTTAAAGACAGAGCAGGAGTTATTAAAGGAGTGGAAGAACCGTCAAAGTAAAGAGAAGTCAGAAAGAGAGAGACTGCTAGGAAAGTACAAGTCTAGCAAGATACCAAGAGTTGTAACATCTCATAGACCAGTGGAAATGAACGTTGGGAAACAAATAGTCGCTGGTGGTGCTGCATATCAACCTCCCAAACCAAGATAGAGATCGTGTCATCAGAGGTTCCATACTTTTATGTAAGACTACTGTCAATTATACAACATACTATTTGATCAGATTTATTTGGCATGAATTTCCATACATTCGATGGACAAGATTCTGAAAAAAATGATTCTATAGCGTTTAATTTTGTTTCTTCAATAATTTGAATTAATTTGTTTTATTTGTACAAATGAAAACAAGTTCATAAAGACATAAAATAAAACCAATAAAATTACAACTAATTGATATCAACTACATCGAGAAACTTTCCGTTTGGAGCAATCCATCCGACGACCCAGTATTTGTGTCCAATTTTCATATTTTCAAGTTTCTGGTATGCAAAGTTATTTGGGAAAATAACCGGAGCAAAGGCTTTGTTATCTACTTCACTGAAAAGCTCTAGTTTGAACCCTGCACTGTTTGAATACTGCTTTAACGTTTTAGAAACGATCTGCATTTGAGTATTCACTCTTTTCTTGTGTTCTTCCTCAGGTATCAATCGACATCCATCGCATCCAATCTCCATTCTTTGAGTATCAATACCCTCCAGTGAGTTAAAGCATATTGGACAATTGTCAACGTGAGATGAAACCATGTTAACGAGTATAGGATACCCATCCTTGTAGGAATATTCCACTTGTACTTCTTCTCCCACTTTGAAGGGAATCGTGGTACTGGATCTAGTACTTCCAGGTTTCTTTAACTGTACGGTATCCCAAACATTGAACTTAATCAATCTTGTCTTGAATGGTATATTCGTTGAGATCGTCAAGCGAGTGTATCCTTTTGTATTTGGATTAATTTCACAAATCAATCCATAGTTGTTGAAGAGAGCCATGTTTGAAACGTAACCAAAGTTCTATATCAAGAAATGAGCTCTCTACATTCCAACTCGATTTATATAGGCGAGTCACTGGGCATTGAATTCATGAAGATCTTAAAACAATTGCGTAACATGTACTTGTTTTCATTTGCCATCTGAGTAACATCTGATAAGTTCAGCTCTTCTCGTATTGCTTGCAAAACTATATTTTCATGGATATTGATGATATCTTCATAACTCTTACTCTGAGCTGATATCAAAATATCAAACATAGGGAGTACTCTTTTTCGAATACGGTAAATGTCAAACATAGTTATAACTTTGGTTCTTTGATAGTATGAAAGCTCAGAGTGAAGCTCATTCAGAAATTCTGATGGTGAGTTGACAAAGAACTCTTGGAAATATTGTGTGCTGGTCTGCATCTTTAATCGGTCAAGGTTGGAACTCTAAGTTCTTATATATCATGCCTCCCTTCAATCAAAATGAACTCTGGATACTCTGAAAAGTAGCACCCATCTCCAAACCTCCGTCCATGTTTAACAGGGTGGTTTAGATCGAGATTGTTCCTGATGATACTGGGAACATTGGTTAAAAGCTGTGGCATGGTAAGCAAATATTTCTTTGGGGTGTGTGGTTATGAATTAGTCTGTTCTTTGAAGAAATATAATTTACCTCGATAAATAAGTTTTGAATTAGCCCGATCACATTCACTCTCTTTAGTTTCGAGTATTTATCATAAGAGAATATGACACTCAACCTGGACCTATAATCGATACTACCAGGAAAGTTTACGAGATGCAACTCTTAAACCTTAGTAGCAAAGTCCGATCTTCTAGATTGGTGGGTAAAATCCAAGTTGAAAACTGAGCCGAGTCATGATTGCATCTGTATGGATACAAAGGATGACATATCAATACCTGTTGATCGAACAAAGGAATTATATAGTTTTGATGAGTTGCACTTGAAATATCTTATCGATCAAATTGGAGAGATTAAAATTGTTGTTGATTCTGTTGACCTAAGAGACATCGGAAACTCAGAAATTCTGATGGTGAGTTGACAAAGAACTTTTGGAAATATTGTGAGCTGGTCTGCATCTTCAATCAGTCAAGGTTGGAACTCTAAGTTCTTATATATCATGCCTCCCTTCAATCAAAAACTTTCTATTCATCCATCTGTATTGTCCCAACACCTCGATCGTTTCTGCAACAGCATTAGAACATTGTGGTGCATGTAGGTGTTGGCTTTTAGTGTTATGATTGTACTTTGTAACACAGTATGGGTAGATGGGTTCATTTCCAAATATTTCCGTTTGCTTAAATCGGACAGACTTCTTAGTTTTATTAGTTGATGTCTTTTTCAGTATTGATGTTCCTGGATACCATGTCTGTGGAAGTTCTATATCAAGCAAAAAGTATTCACTCCTATTATCAGCACATTTATGAAGGGTGGGTGCTTCTTTTCCTTGCATGTGTAAGAACAATCGCTTTTCAAACTCTTTGCGACGACGTTCACAAATTGTTAGAACCTCATAACCATAACAAAGTTTTTGCTCTTTCAGCTTTGTGAGCAGATCTTCAATTGATAAATCACGGATCTCTTGCATATTAGCTCATATCATTCACCTCTATAATATGGTTGCTTGCTGTTAACCACCCTACTACAACATAATTTTTACCTACTTTTAAATTGGGTACTCGATTAAAAACAAGAGTGTTTTCAAAAATCCTTGCTCTTAAAATTCTATTCTCTTTAAGATAGAGTAACTCTAATCTGAAAGCTCTGGTAACCGAATAACTATGTACAGCAAGTAATCTCATGATCCCAATAACAAAACCTCTGTGATATTCATCTTCAATAAGAATATCTGACATTGCAAAACTAACAAAAAGAGAAATGAGATATATAATGATGTTGATCCTTTTAATAACAAATTTTTACAATTGATGAAATTGCTCGAAATTTTTACAAGTGTCGAAAATCCGTGAAATTTTTACAAGTGTCGGAAATCCGTGAAATTTTTACAAGTGTCGGAAAATGTGTGCAATAGCAAAATGTGTGCAACAGAGGGTAAATACCTCTTACTGATTTTGTTCAGAACAAGAGTGTTCAACATGGCACGTTGATGTCTGAACTTGAAACACTTATGGCCAAGCAAACTGCTGTGAAAACTGCCACAAAGTGGCTCACTTCCACTGGAGAAGAATATGTATGGTCTTCCTCAAATGGACACACCACGACTAAGGAGCCAATCGATATTTTAAATTATCCTGGGATATCAGAGCTTATGCATGATATCAACTCCAAGTTTGGCTGCAAGCTAAACTCATGCCTAGCAAGCATGTACAAGTCTGGTTCTTGTGCAACTAGGTACCACAACGACGACGAGACGTCTCTTGACCAGTCGCAAGGTATTTATGTAGTTTCATTTGGAGCTGAGAGGACCCTCGACATAATTCCAGAAAATGGGGATAAGCGATGTAACAGTAAATGCTATATCACCCCAAAGGACTGTAGTTTGTATATTATGAAACCGGGGTGTCAGGAATATTGTCTTCACAAGGTTCGTGCAGAGAGCTCAGTTAAGGGGACTCGGTATAGCTTATCTTTTCGCTGCCAGATACCGAAGACAGATACAAATGTAGTCAAGGAGCAGATTGCCCGCACTACAATTCCTATGCCGCCCACCACCACCTCAACACCAACCCTTTACTACCGAAATGCTCCAAGAAAACCGAAGAGCAGGAAAACCACTGTCCTGTTTGGTACGTCGATGACAAAATTCGTACGGACAAATAAGTTGGGATTCCGGGGAAGGAAAGTAATCAATGTGTCTCAAAGTGGTGCAAAAATTAGAGACATCACTGAAAACATTCATCATTTTCATAAAACTCATGCAGCTGCAGAAGCTGACGATATTGAAAAAATTATATTGAGTGTTGGTACAAATGACATTAAAAATTCTAAGTATGGGGTTCAGTTCCTTAGGAAGTATCTTACTGAATTAATTGACACCACTAAGCAGTTATTTCCCGCTGCAATTATAATTATCCAATGTTGTCTTCCTATTAAGTGTTTATATTCCTACATAGCAAAGAATGTTCTTAACAATCTACTTAAAGACTTATGCCTAAAGAATAATTGCGTGTTCCTAGACTGTTTCTCAGACTTTTTAACTCGAGACTTTAGATAATGTAATGAACTTCTATACCATGATTGGCTTCATCTCAACATGAGAGGAGTAGGTTTACTGTCCACTTGGCTTAAGTTTGTTGTAATCGAACACAGGTTTGACAGGGTTGTAAATAATCTTCTGGGAATTTAAATCTTTGATCTTTTCTTCCATTTAATATTTTGATTAAGACGTTGCGCCTAAAATTAAAACTCAAACAAATATCTGATTTAATCTTTTTCTCAATTTTATGCCTCCCATTTCAGGTACATTCGGTCACTGTCCATTTTCCAATATGTTAGACAATGAATCGTTTAGACTTAGAATAGGTCTTTTTGCATGCAAAAGGCCTCGTACACAGTCAAGAAATGCACTTATACATATCAACACGTTTATACCTAACAAAATTTACACATTTTAGTCTCCATACACCCCACACATCAACTACAATTATCATAATCATATGTTTCTCTTCTATTCTCTCATCATGACTTACTTTCTCCCAATTCTTCTCTCCACGGTTAGGTCCATGAACACCGTATTCCCCCTAGATTCTAATATTCATTCCTCTCTACTCCTTGACAGCCCACGTTATCTTATAACATTTCTTGCTTGCTCCCACATCAAACTTTTCTTTGTAATTATCTCCTCATGGTTTATAAGAAATGTTCTTCTCCCTGGTAAGATTAATAGAGTCAAGTATTCCAGCCGCCTCAGGCGTCTAGTCTCTTTATTCATTCTTTGGGTTTTCTCTCTTAACTTTCTTCTGATAACTCCTGTTAATCCTTCTATGCTTAATCCAGGTCCCAAATCCCTATCTGTACTATACCAAAATGTCCAAGGTCTTATTCCTTTCAGTAACCTAAGCTCCTCCCATCCCCTTCTTGATGGTAATAAGATTTCCGAACTTCAATCCTTTGCTAACATAGAGCAGCCTGACATAATTGCCCTAAATGAGACTTGGCTCAAAAAGTCTATTTCTAGCAACGAAATCTTTCCTTCTTCTCATTATGAAATCTTCCGCAATGACCGCACGAGAAAGACTCATCCTCAAGATCCTAATAACCCTAAAAAGTTTAGGGAAAATGGAGGTGGTGTTCTTTTGGCTGTTCGGTCTGATCTCGACGCCACTACAACCCGACTACCAGTTAGCCTAGGTGCAGAAATGCTT